CGATGCATAACTTAGATGATATTGCAAGTATTTACTCATTAGTTTAAGGGGTACATCATTGATTATATCATAATAAGGTCTGTTACTTCGTAACTACTTTTTGAGTTTCTGGTTTAGTAAAATTAATATAGCTCAATTAAATTTAATTCGTTCCATGTTAAAAAATAAATAAGAACCAAATATTAGTCTTCATTTCATCTAAGGGGCGTTTGTTAAAATAGATGTCTGATAGTAAAATGGTATTTTGGAACTGAAAAATTGTTGAAATGCATTGCATTTAAGAGAGCCAGTGATGCATCCACTACTTACTTAACTGTATAACACACCTCAAACCTTTAAAAAGTCTGCCAGAAGAATTTATCTATAAAAGGCACCCTTGTTTTTGGCAGTAATTGACCTCAATTTCCAGTATAGAGATATATTGAAAGCGTCTTTCAAGAGCAACCAGCCCGGGGTGGTACATAAACTTGCTGATAGGTCCAAAATTTGGGTAGATATCGTCTACCAAAAACAGTACAAAAGAGTAGGGGTTGATAATTCATTAAGCTCTTAAAACTTAAAACATGATATCACAATTGCATACATTTTTTTAAATTATTGAATTTATTTACATATCTTGATGAAAAATGTAAATTAATTAAAATTAAACAGCCACATTATATATAGCGACCCATATTGATATGGGAGATGTCGAAAACGATAACTTAATGAATTATAAACACTTGACTTGATTTGCCTACCCATTTGTACGTTTTTTTACATATACCTAAGTCAATAATGGAATAAATAGAACTTTCGTTGATGTAGCGCAAAGCATAGTAATACCACTGAATTTAGTTATAAATTCAATGATAATACAAACAAGTACAAAGGATTTCGCCCTAAGACGAGGAACTTTAGCGCTGTTTTCATGTATTTATCAGTACTTCCCAAAAGACTATGGCTATGTTTCTTTTACTAAAAGTATCTATGGATAAATTTCAAAAAATACCTCAATAAATAAGAAAGTTGGCATTGCGCAATCTACGCATTCGCGCATCTTATTTTTACATTATCCGATATGTTTGCCTTTCTAGACACATCTGTGGTTTAAATTTCAAATTAAAATCATCTATGGTTAAAATTTCAAAGAAATATCTTCATAAATAAGGAAGTTAGCATTTATGCACACATCTAAAGTTTACAATATGAGGTATGTTTGCGTTTATCGGAAGCACCTGTGATAAATTTTATCAAAAAGACATCTCGAGAAATAATTGATATAGTGAATTTCAAAAAAGATGCGTTTAATTAATCTTATTTTATTACGAAGACTATCGAAGAGTGAAATCCATTTGAAAAAAATAGTTAGGACACTAGGAAATTTTGAAAATTTACAATTTCATTGTGAACACCCTGTATCACTAAATCGAACACGGGTTAACATTATTGCTCAAATTTATTTCTTAACTTCAAAAAACAAAGTCGCTACGATTAAAGCTTGCTTATGGGGAATTATTCTAAAAACATTATAATAGGATCAAAAAGTGAAAGTAGTTTCAATGTAGAGGTTAAAGGGGCGGACTGGGTACTTACGGGCCAGGTGGAATTGCATAGGTTACGGGCCATTAAAGTATTAGTGTAGTAATGAAGGTGGCGGGGGGGTAGCTCTGCGGTGCACCACAAAAACATTTTTTTGCTTCATTTTAATACTCCTTTTTCGGAAATCAATTACAATACAGTTTTTTTTTAATTGCAGCTGATAATTAAAACTTCTGTTTGAAACGTCCGATCTAAAAAGTACGATTTGTTTTGGATTCCACGCACCAAAATTAATAAGGAAAAGTTTTTTCACGAGAAATTTTGGTGCAGTCGATTTTTGGTAAAGAAAGAAGGTTCCAAAATTGGGCTACTAGTTCAAAAGTTACAGCCCTTTGAATTTTCTTTCGAAATTGGTTTCTAGTCCATAACTTTTGATTGAGAAGTCCGATCGAAAAAGTACGAATTGTTTTAGATTCTACGCACCAAAATTAATAAGAAAAAATGTTTCCCCGAGAAATTTTGGTGCAGTCGATTTTTGGTAAAAAAGGAAGGTTATACACTGCCTTTTTTTGAGCCCCGAAAAAAAAATTGTCTCAGATCGACCCGGAAAAAAATTTTTCTTATAGAATGTGGCCTGTAGAATCCATAATTTCAAACAGTTCCAAGATTGGGCTACTAGTTCAAAAGTTACAGCCCTTTGAATTTTCTTACGAAATTGGTTTCTAGTCTATAACTTTTGATTGAGAAGTCTGATCGAAAAAGTACGAATTGTTTTGGATTCTACGCACCAAAATTAATAAGAAAAAGTGTTTTCCCGAGAAATTTTGGTGCAGTCGATTTTTGGTAAAAAAGGAAGGTTATACACTGCCTTTTTTTGAGCCCCGAAAAAAATTGTCTCAGATCGACCCGGAAAAAAAATGTCTTATAGAATGTGGCCTGTAGAATCCATAATTTCAAACAGTTCCAAGATTGGGCTACTAGTTCAAAAGTTACAGCCCTTTGAATTTTCTTTCGAAATTGGTTTCTAGTCTATAACTTTTGATTGAGAAGTCTAATCGAAAAAGTACGAATTGTTTTGGATTCTACGCACCAAAATTAATAAGAAAAAGTGTTTTCCCGAGAAATTTTGGTGCAGTCAATTTTTGGTAAAAAAGGAAGGTTGTACACTGCCTTTTTTTGAGGCCCTCAGAAAAAATTGTCTCAGATCGACCCGGAAAAAAAAATTTCTTATAGAATGTGGCCTGTAGAATCCATAATTTCAAACAGTTCCAAGATTGGGCTACTAGTTCAAAAGTTACAGCCCTTGAATTTTCTTTCGAAATTGGTTTCTAGTCAGGGGCGGGCCAGGTGGAATTGCATAGGTTACGGGCCATTAAAGTATTAGTGTAGTAATGAAGGTGGCGGGGGAGTAGCTCTGCGGTGCACCACAATAGTTATTTACATTATTAGTGCGGGAACAGTTATTTTGAAGATGAGCGCGAAGTTTGGCGGCGCGAGCGACGCATTTCGCGCGAATCAAGCAAATACTGTTCACGCACGTAACATGTATTCTATTTTTTGCACGGATTAGTTAAATCGAATTTATATAAATTCAAATCCTTTTCGCGAGATTTTTGCGACATTATAATTCTTTTGAAAAAATCAAGTCCTCTATGCCGATAAAGTAGAAATCTAGAAATTTAAAATGTCAATTTATTGTTCAAAACTTCTGGTTTAAGCTTATTTCTGCCCCTGTACTACAGGGAATGATGTAAAGTGTATTTATATTTTCTTTTCTACTCTTCCATCATACTACTTACTAGTTTATGATCCGCACTAAATAGATAATTTCGTTGAATTTTTAGGCACTAGTGCGCGAAAGTAGATAGTCAATTGTAAAATTGACGTTCCCGACGTTCGTGTTTTATTGGGAAACGCGATTTAGAACGAAGGAGTGCAAAAAAACATTTTTTGCTTCATTTTAAAGTACTCCTTTTTCGGAAATCAATTACAATACAGGTTTTTTTTAAATTGCAGCTGATAATTAAAAGTAACAAAATATACAATCCAAACGAGGCGCGTCGCCTATCATTGTAGGTATTTCATCACTTTCATGCTACGACAAAAAATGATAAATTCATTGTAAAACACTTCAATTAAAACAGAATTTTTTAATTTTTTAACAACCTAACATCAACCCCAATTAGAGAAACGTGCAGTGCCGTTTTTAACTTTTTCGGGGCCCTGGGCCATTTGTTCGTGGAGGCCCCCCTTACCCTCAATAAAAACGGCACAATGTTTGCATTTTGTGACGAAAATGACCGGACTTATTTGATTGAACTTTAAAGTCTATGTCTTACCCATGGGCAAAACCTCAGTGTAATACCCACTTCAGGCTTTTTATCACTTATTAGGACTTTTTAACTTTCTAAATGGTAACCTTATATACCTACGCGATCTGCAGGATTTTAGAATTTCCGGTATCCCTTACTCTATGCATTAATTTTGTTTAAATCTGCATTTACTTTAAGGCGGCAGATTTTGCACTAACATTTTTTTTCACACAAACTTTTGGGGGCCCCTCAGGACTTCGGGGCCCTGGGCCCGGGCCCAGGTGGCCCATGCCTAAAAGCGGCACTGGAAACGTGTCAATAACTTATTAATAGTGCAAGAAACTAAATACAGCACATACTTATAAATTTCCAACGGGCCATTATGACGTACAGGCCAGGGGCAATCGCCACCCGCCCCTGTAGAGGTTGTTTCAAAATCTAACCAATCAGATGATTTTTAAAGTGATCTCCCTAAAATACACTCGATCTTGATTCTAATCAGTATAATTTTATTTTTAATTCGCTCATTGTTGTCTCCTGGAAAAAGCTCTCGATTAAACTCATATATAAAATCGCTTCAACCTCCCAATTTTTAGATTTAACAAGACATATTTTAGGACCCCAGTCTCTTTAGTAAGACCATTGAACATCCACGGCAATAGGCACACATTACCATTACCTCCCTAGACTATATCAAAAGAACGGAGAGTAAAGTACCTACCATTAGAGCATTTTTTAAAAAAATCTATTACAATTACACTACCTACATATTACATTTGCATCTGTGACTTTACATAACTTCTGGGAAATTGCATTGAAATGCGGTACAGGAAGCTGTGAATGATGTGATCACTTTACAAGGTCTTGTATCTTGCCTTGAGATGCTTGTTTAAAATTAATCCCGTAGTCCTATTTAACTTAATAGACTCAAAATAAATTGTGTCGAAAAAGTTTCGGTTACGTTCCAAAGTACACTATGCGAGATGAAGAAAAAGACGCAAATTCTGGAACTTTTTCCAAAAAGATTCGAATGTATTATTTCCCAATTTTAGTTTCAGCTTCCTGTAGATCAATTAACTCAATATAAAACTGCATTCTAAAGTAGGTATTAACGGCAGTCCCTACGTAGACGTAAGATTAATGGTGTGACGCGACAGCGTTATTCAGTTTATCTAGTTTATTTATAGGAGTACTTTATCCCTCTCGTCGCTACAATTATTGCCAATTCAAACGAACAGTATTCGCAAAATTTCAGTAAATGATGGTTGCGAAAGTGGAAGATAGTGAACGTTTTCCTTTATCCCTGTGACTTTTTTACGTGTTGTACTTGACAAAGTGATTTTGGCAGCTTTAAAATGCAGTTAATACTAACGTTATTTTATATTACGTGTAAGCTACGATATTATTAAATAATTCAGTAAAAATTGGCACGCATTCGCTTTGTAGATTCATTGGCTTATGAACCACCAGCACCTGTAGTTCACACTTCCCTTGGAAACATTCGAGGATACCACACATTTTCGCTTGAGGGTCGCAGATTTTCGGCATTTGAAGGTATTCCTTATGCACAGCCGCCTATAGGACATCTCCGATTTGAGGTATCCATTCATGGGCTTCAACTTGATTGAGGCTTCTAATTTTTTTACAATTAATATCTCACGTTGGTGAACAGTAATAGAAATGGGAACTGAAATTGATGTTGATTCATGATTCAAATATAGATATACAGGGCTATTTATTAAGAAGTAGACATTGAGATTTACGTGTTTTGTTTTCCCTATGTCTAATTTTAAATGACAAAAGCTCTTCTAAAGGGCGCCTAATTTTATGCAACCAAAATAACTTCTTAAAACAAAAATCTGGCTGTCATATTAGTTAATTAATTAATAATATCCTGGCAATTAGGCCTAGGCCCTCGAGCTTTTTAACTCCCCGCCCTCGAGAATATAAACATCACTTTTATGCCCTTAATACATAAATAACTATTATATGAACATAAGAAAAAGTACCCTGTAGAAGTAACATGTAAAAAAAGTATAAAGTATAAAAATCCTTTGCTGACAAAAATACATAACAGCTAGTTAAATAAACTGTTTCAAACCAATATAAACAACGAGCGACAAGACCTAATGACCAAAACTTAATTAGTTAGTCCATTGCCCATTGTTTACCTATTACTGAATACAGAATTGGAAAATTCGAAACCGTTCTCAGTACACAGACGGACGGACGGACAGAAAGACCAAAATCATATACTCGCGTTTCATCTCTCGTTAATTAACGTTAGAGTGCATTTGAAACTGTCAAGCAAGAGTCGTTACATACCTGGCACTGGATAGAATACTGAAAAGTAAATAGTATAAAAGGCAATTAACGGTACAAATTTTTAATAGGCACCTAGAAGCGCACTACCCTGGAATAGAACTTTGGAAGCTCACAATTTATTCGTATGCTCGCAATTCCAAAATATGGCTTTCGAGGCCGTAGATGCAGAGAATGTTTTTGATCGTAAAAAAGGTACAAACTTGAAATGTGTTATTAATTTTCAGCAAGGGATTTTTTTAGATCAAGAAGATTGCTTATACCTCAATGTATACGTGCCCAAAGAGCAACCATCTGAGAACGACAACTATGATGTTGTTGTTAACATACATGGAGGTGCGTTTATGAACGGTGATCCAAACTTGGTCACGCCTGGTATTATAATGGATCGCGACTTTATCTACATTAACTTGAACTACAGGCTTGGTATTTTGGGTAAGGAAGACGAATACACTAATTCATCTAGCAATTTGAGTATTCTTCAGGATTCTTAAGTACTGAAGATACTGTCGTACCAGGAAACAATGGGCTTAAAGATCAACAGCTCGCACTTCGATGGGTTCACACCCATATTAAACACTTCGGGGGCAATCCGAATGCGATTACACTTATGGGTGGGTCGGCAGGTGGCGCTTCTGTTCATTTTCATTATTTTTCTCCCAAATCTAGAGGTATTGCAACTACCACTTTTGATAATGGTTTAAAACTATTGTATGCAGGTTTATTCCACAGGGGTATATCACAAAGTGGCAGCGTACTACTTCCCTGGGCAATTCAAGTGGGTGCTTTAAAGAAAGCACAAAAACTGGCTGGTTTATTAAACTGCAAAAATTCAAATACACGAGATATGGTTTATTGTTTGAAGCAAATCCCCGTTCACGAGCTTATTTCAAAACTCTCACATTTTTATCATTCCACTATGTATCCTTTAGCTCCGTTTGCACCGGTAGTTGAGGTCGAGTCGGACTCTTCCTTTATAACGAAGCATCCATATCAACAGCTGCTAAACGGAGACGTATATGATGTTCCGTGGTTAACGTGGAGAGCGGCCGATGAAGGAATCTTTCTTGGTGTCCTAAGTAAGTTAAAAGACCACCAGTTTACTGTTAGTACACCAGCTATGCCTTGTAGTACCTCCTGGTCCCCATGACGAAATTGAAAAGAATTGGGATGAATGGTCACCGTTCATGTTCAACTACGATTACACTGTTGCTGAAAGCCAGAAAAAAGCGGTCGCTCGTAAAATTAAATCGTTTTACATGAAAAATGAGAAACTCTCTCATAATAACATCAGAAAATTCATTAAAGTAACAGTGGGTACTATCTCGATATAGTTACTGACTTTTGTTATAGCTTATGGGTGATCGATATTTTAATGTGGGATATGAACGAGCAATAACCATGCAGGCGAACCTTGGAAAATCGCCAGTATATGCTGGTATATACAACTTTAATAAAACGCATGGTTTGGCGAAAGCATTTGGAGTAGATATTGAGGGTACTACGTAACTCAATATTACGTATTGGTATTTAACGAAATCCTTTATAGGCGTCACACATGGCGATGAAAGCTTTTTGCTGCACCATCAGGTACCTGTAAAAGACATTAAGCTGTCAAAACCAGAAAAAGATATGAAGAACATGCTGTTGGATATTCTGGCATCGTATGCAAAACATGGGTTAGTACTTTCATTAAAAATAAGTTTAATTTTTAAGAGTAATTCTGCAGTAAACCAGAAGCGCCTGGGATAAGTTGGGAGCCAGTGACTCCCGGAAAGTTTAATTATTTATTTATGTGTGACGCTCACGACTCCAAGATGGTAGAGAATCCGGATGTTGATGCCCAAGAATTTTGGGAAAGTTTGGATATTAAGGAATACGGTAACATTATTCGAGATGAACTTTAACAAAGAAATTTAATTAATGATACGATCAGAACTTTGCTACTATTACTAACACCACCTGTTATAGTAGATACATAAAAATAACCCTGTGTGGCGGTAATGTAGTTCAACTATAACACTACTATGGAGTGTCTTAAGTTGGACACATATAGTCATCCTTAAGGTTGGTTGAATTCTACACATTTTTAAGGGGATTTCCAACTTTAGCTTTAGCTTTCGAAATTTGCACAATAAGCGTAACACAGATGCACAGGGTGTTCTTAATGAGTGTTTATGAATGTGCACCATACATTACACAAAAACATATTCTAGGCTACACTATTTACAGTTCCTATGATGGTGCTTATGTTGAATTTCGTCTGTCTGCCGTTATCCACACTTTCGTATAGCTTACGCGCTCTAGCAATGCCAAATTTTTCAAATTTTGTGTGTTTTGTTCAATGTTTCTTCTCAAAAAACCGTTTAGTATCTTAGTAGTCGGATGATCCTACTGTCATACATAAATCCGAAGCGCGTTTCATAATAAAAGACGAAAAGATACTTTATGGATTCAAAAACTGAGACAAACACAGTTTGGAGAGTAACTTTTTGCATGTGCTATGCTATTTTAAATAATCCAGAAATCGTGTTAAAATTAATCGCATGTAATTCTGATCATTTTAACATTTAATAAGCGTTTCCTAATTTTCAGCTGCTAATTATGATGATTTTCCAGGTCCGACTTTCTCGCCGAAAAAAAAATCTGGGGCCAACAGCTACTATTTGAATTTAAATTTACCACTTGTTACACTTTGTTTATTTGTTATGATGTTTCAATAAAGCTTCTTAGATGCAGTAGTAATATCTTTAACCTTAAAAGATTGACCAAGCGCATTGGGTCACTTTTCTGACTCGTGCACCAATGGTGTCTTCTCCTTTACACGAAAAAATAGCGTTATATGACAAAAATGAAATTTAATGAAGGTCTCTCTTGCTTCTGGTCAAAATGTGCTCGGCGACGGTAAGCTTCAGGTAACTCGAATAGGAAAACGAAGATCTCAGGAATTCTAAAGGGCAAGCAAGCATCTACATCCAAAAATTACAACTTTTACTACGTTCTCCCCAGATCTTAAAAATACAGGATGGTGTCAAAATTCAAGTTTTTTAAGGGGACACCAAACGGATGTAATCTCGACTTAATCGGAGGCTATTACTGTAACCTATTCAACTAATTACGATTAATTATGCTATATACAAATAGTCGGAATGATATTATCAAATTCGGCCGTCCAGCAATGTCCTTTTGTTCCTTATAATGTAATACCAATCAAAAAACAAAATTAGCGTCACCCTCCCGTCAAACGGCATCCGGACAATCCCCAATCTGCTTTCTGCAAACCAAACCAAACGGATGTCCCGATTTTTCATTCCCTTACTTCTTGACTAAATTGCCAAGACTTTATTGTATCAGAAATAAAAACTTACGTCTAAAAAATAGGCGTCTTAATTACGCCCGTCTGTCTGAAGGGAAGTCAAACTGATATCTTGAAGATTTGAATATGCGGGATGGAATCTGCGAAGATTCTTAAAAAAATTAACTACTTCATTGTTACCTAATAAATAGCTTCCTACAACAACAACCGAATGGCAACTGTCTAAGGTCAGTGGTAGCTTATTTCGTTCTCGAGTTGCACAAAAAGCAGACGAACGGACGGACAAATCACGTATACAAGGGGAATTTTTTTCTGTCCTAAAAATTCTACACTTGTGAATCGTTATACCTTCCTCTAATGCAATTCGTGTGCAACTTGGTTTTTTTCCTGAAGTGGAACGTAGATTTTTAGGTAATTAGTATTGTTCCATTTATAACGGCCAACGAGTGATTTGATCTTGACCTAACCCAAACCAATAACAAGGGCGTTTCAGGTCAGCGGCGATAAAATGAATAGATTTAAAATTGTTGTATATTTATAAACTAATTATGGATGAAATATTACATCGGCGCAATAAAATAATGTTAATCATCCGAATAATTAGAGTAATATTACTACTACACTACTTTAATTAGTAGATTCAAATGTTGCGAATGGTAAGAAACATATTTTTTAATTTAGATAATTAACCCTACGCAAGGCTGTTTATTTACTCTGTTTAGAAATTAATTCGTTCATTTGGTTACTGATGAAAGCATTGATGACGGGTTGTCTCAAAACCTTGACACAGCGTTATTTTTACTGGCAAAATGATGTAAGGATTACGTATCGTCCAATTAATTTGCACTGAAAATAGATCGACTCGTATTGATCATGTGTTGCTACTAATGCTGTATGTATTTATTTCTGATCATGGAGGTTTTTTATTTTCCGATGAGGATCAAGGCCATCCAAGCCTAAAATTATAGCAGTCTTGCGGAAGACCTTTATATCCCAAGGCAGAAGTAGGCGAGTCTTTTGTCGTTCGAGGTTTTATGATATCTGAGGAGTTTTGCTAATGCTGGCAAACATTTTTTGAGCAACCAACGTACTAGTCAATCCTGAAAATGATTTAAAGGACACACCGAAAAAGTTAAATCTAAAACTAAAAAGCCGAGTGGTAAATGAAAATTATTGATAAGTAGTGTACTAAATGAAAATATGTGGGATGACATTACCTTGAACCACCACTTTGACCAATGCGGACGGTTATACAGAAATGCTCTGTACTCATTTTAATAATTTTCGTACAGTTTATATCTTTCCCTGTTTCATTGCAACTTAAAATAATCGAGCATTATGCCGGCTACTCCGAATTAGGTTTTCCTGCAGTTTTCCTAATTCGTAAGGTAAATACCAGAGTAGTATAGATAACAACTTAAGACCTTCTGCAGGGGCAACTCTAAAAAGACACTATGCGGATCCTCTGTAATTGGGCGAAAGCCTGTTGAGGGCCCAGAACAAGAGAGGGACAATAAATAAATAAATATTGGTGCTCATTTTTTACAAATGCAGCGTATGTGTATTGAAAAGATTACAATTCCATCAACATGTATCCCTGGAAATTGTACAGACTGGGGCTTTTCATGAGAACTTAATGTTAATTTTCAAAGTAGGTTTTCAGTTTTTTATTTGGGGTCCTATTCAGAAATCAGAAGGAAGAAAATTAATTAAATAGGTCTCTAAAGAGAGCTATAGAATATTGATCCTGTTCGAAGCAGGTTAGGGTATTATTAGGGTGTCCAGAATTTGGAAAGGGACACATACAGGCTGATTCAAATTCGAGGGCCACCATGGGGATCTCGGGAACTGTAAGAGATAGATAGGTAGTTTAAATTTGGCAACGTTGCGTATTTTGATGCTTAACAAAATGCAGTTTTGAAACTGAACAAATTCCGGCTACCTACTTTTGCAGATAACCGAAAAAAAAACAAAATTTTGCAAAATCGTTTTTATTTTTTACTGAAATTATTTAAAAGATATTTCGAAATAAATGACACATTATTATGGCCCCTTTTTTTCCCTATACAAGATGTTGGTTCAGACGAGATACGCATGATTAGTATGCTTAGAACAACGTTAAATGCGGGTGGAGCGAAGGAATGATTTTTTGTACTTACTTTTAGTTAGAAAATATAGAGTTAAGATTTATAGCTCTTTTGTATATGAATAGTCACGTAGTGATCAAATGAAAAGCGCGGGCCTTAGTTTTTATTTTGGAAACATCCAGATGAATATGTTTCATAATCGGCCGGAAAGAGTTATACAATTGTGATAGTGTTTTGTACATTGAATCGTCTTTACCAAAATTCCCCATACTAATTTTACTGCTAGTTTCTCTATCTTTACACTGCATGGTATACGAGTAACAGACATAATATAGACGTAGGTACCATAAATTATTGATACTTGATTGTCATTTTAGATGCCGGGAAAGGGTGCATTAAGTGCCTAAGAAATCATTATTGCATTGTTAGAATATAAGTCTGAGATATCAAGAAATATTAACCATTCTTCTCCAAGTATTTGGAAGATATTAGTAGTGCATTAAATAGTATACCTACTATCACCTGAAGCATTCTGACGGAATAAAAACTATCAAAAGTCTGTTTCTAGTGTCAAACAGTGCATATGAGTGACAAAGCTGATTTACCATGTGCAGAAAGTAAAAAGTTAAAAAAAAATATCTAGATTAAATGTTATAGGCGTAAAGAGTAATATAAACATTTACAAATTAACTGAAAAATTGCATAAATAATGTAAATGTACTAAATACCAACCTTACCAAGCGTCGCTACAAACTGGTACAAAGTGCTCAGGAAAAGTACGGCAAAAACAATGTCTGGACAGCTGACGGAAAAATCGTAATAAAAAAATCCGATAATACTGTGTCCTATATTTCCAATGCAAATAATCTCTAAAAGCGCAATAATGATACGCGAGTCTTGTGCAAGCAAACTAGAATTATATTTCTCGTTCTTTACAGTTTCATTATCATTGAAGTTACATTTTGTGTGATCAAAAATAAGTTTATGGATATCGCTTTATGTTACAAATTACTTACAAACTTTTCTCTTTGTCTTTTCGTTGTTAAATCGTCCCTTGAACTATAAACTTTAGTTATATTTCTGTAATTGCTACCTTAGCTATCAATATACTTAATTATATTTTCTTTTCACATGTCAATTTTTCAAACATTGTCGAATCTGATTCTTGAATACTTAGCTATGTGGTATTTGATTACCCTTCATGTATTAATATTTTCTTCCAGGAACTTTTCACATCGGTCTTACGAAATACCGGAAAAGCGCGGCCTCTTCGAGCAATTACTTCACCATACGTGTTTGATGTCTTAGGTGAAACTAGTAAGCAAAACCTTCTCATTGGACACATTAATATTAGATCTATATCTAAACATTTCGATGAACTGAAATCCTTCATGCTTGATTACAATTTTGATTTTTTAGCAATCAGTGCCACCTGGCTTAATAAAGAGGTCCGCGAATTTTTATGTCCCTGGGTACTATTTATTAAGAAGGGATGGATGCGGAAGAGGAGATGGTGTCGCACTGTACATTAACGTATCCTTTCAAGTTGAAGTTCTGAACTACGGGGTGCAAGATGTAGATCGCTTAAACCAACTCTGGATTTCCGTAAAAATAGGTAAACGCATGCATGCCATAGGTGTTGTATATAAATCGCCCAGTATCTCCTACCAGCACTTCTCTGTTCTGGATGATATGTTTTCCTTTATTGTTCCGCAGTTCAGCGACGTAATCTGTTTAGGGGACTTCAACGTTAACCTGCTGTCCTCTTCCCGATCATGTGAATACCTTAAACAAATTACAGACAGCTATGGTTTTAGACAAATTACGTCTAAACCCACGCGGGTCTCGGCAACGTCGGGCACGCTAAAAATCACTAAAAAGAAGATGCCTTGGATAACACCAAATATTAAGTACATGATGCGACTGAGGGATAATGCACTCTCCAAATTCAAGCAATCACTGAAAAATGTACACTGTCACTCTTCCTTTTCGGAAGGGAAATGGTTGTACTATAAGCAATTGCGTAATTTTGTAACCGCTTCTATACGGAGAGAGAAAAAAGCATACGTAAAATTCCAATTAAAAAATACTAACGACTCCCAAAAACTTTGGAGCGTCTTAAAAGAGTTAGACGTTCATTCAAAACGATGCTCAGATGATATACCTGTTGAACTGTCTGACCCAAATCTAATCAACCAACACTTCATTTCAACCCCACCTGCAGTCACTGATACGGACACTCTTGACTTTTACTTAAACAACGTTCACAACTCTACTACTCAAACTTTTTCTTTCTCTACTGTCACAGATACGGATGTGAATAACGCTGTCTATAGTTTGAAATCTAATGCAATGGGTGTTGATTCAATTTCGTTAACTATGCTTCGGCTTTGTCTGCCTTTCTGTTGTAGAGCTATTACTGACATAATTAACACGTCTTTAAAAATTGTCACTTTCCCCTCCCTCTGGAAACTTGCAATTGTTCACCCTATCTGTAAAAAGTATCCTCCTGAAAACCTGTCTCATTTAAGACCCATTAGTATCCTAACTGTGTTATCAAAAGTAACTGAGAAGATTATATATGTACAATTGTCCGCTTATATACGTGCAAATCACATATTACCGTTACATCAATCTGGTTTCCGCAGCCATCACTCTACTGCGACCATCTAATTGATATAGTGGACGAAGTCCTAGCAGCAACCGATCGCTCTCAAGTATCTGTGATGCTCTCAATCGATTTTTCCAAAGCATTTGACTGTATTAACCATGAACTTTTGGTAGGCAAGTTGCATTATCTTGGACTTTCTTCTACCGCTACTATAATTGGTTTAAAAGCTACTTACAAAATCGAATGCAGATGGTTAGAACTTTGAGGGATGGAAGCTACAGTGACTCTAACTTTTTACCTGTTAATATGGGGGTTCCGCAAGGATCTATCCTCGGACCGCTTCTTTTCTGTTTATATGTTTTCGATATGGATACGTCTTTAAACGGTTCCTACATCCACAGTTACGCGGACGATACATACTTAATCTATCCTGTCCATCGAAACAATCTAAATTACTCTCTGAGAAACTTGAATGAGCAGTTAAATCGGTTCGAGAGATGGTCTGAGAAACATTCCCTAAAGATAAATCCTTCTAAATCTTCTCTGATGCTATTGGGAACACCAAAATCTGTTACTGCATTGTGGGAAGATGTGGACCAAAAATTATATCTGAAAGATTCCCCGCTTCAATTAGTTAGGGAATCTCGTAGTTTAGGAGTAGCAGTGGATTGTCACTTAAACTTTTCCCTCCACGTCAATAAACTGATTCAAATTGCTTACGCAAAGCTTAAATGTATATATCGTTTCAAATACGTTCTTCCACCAAAGGTCAAGTGGCAGCTTGTAGATTCTTTAATACTGTCAACTTTAGATTATTGTGACACTGTCTATGGTCCGTGTCTAACTAGTGCAAATAAGACTCGCCTGCAAAAAATCCAAAACTCTTGCGTCAGGTATGCGTTTAACATTAAGAAATATGAACATATTTCCCATATTTATCAAGCACATAAAATTTTGAACATGGGCGAAAGACGTCATTTACATCTTGCATGTCTGGTTCACAAAATATTAGTATCTGGTGAACCTTTATATTTGTATAATAAGTTAAAATTCGAAGTAGTATTCACGATCGTAATCTCCGTAATCCATTCTTTCTTGACATACCAAAGCACCATAAAACCCAGTTTCATGGTGCATTTACTTATTTTGCACCACTCATTTACAATAACGTTCCGAACTTTCTTAAATTATTAAGTCCAAACGGTTTCAAAAAACACCTTAGAGTACTTCTTTATCACTGAATCATATTTTTTTTTTTGCTTTACTTGTATTGTATGCTTACTTGTTTCTCACCTGGAGTATCATACCATATAAATTACCATAAATTGTTTTAAATACTCCATCATGTTTTTGTACTTTTTTCTGTATCAAGGTTGGGATTAATAGCAGCCGTTGGCTGACACCCCGCCTCAGTGCCGTTTTTAAGTTTTTCGGGGCCCTGGGCCATTCGTTCGTGGAGGCCCCCCTTACCCTCAATAAAAATATTTTTAAACAAAAACAGATATGTTATAGATTTATTTATTTTACAAGTTATGCAGGTTAGACAGGTTTTTTTCGGACCTTTAGTAACGCTAAGTTTTCGATGACATTGTTAAAATCAATTTCTTGGAGAATATCATTTTCAATACTCATCAGGGATAAATGTTTTAATCTCATCTGACTCATACTGTTCCTTAGTTGATTTTTACTTAGCTTGAGCTTTGAAATTGAAATTACGTGCAAACGGCACAATGTTTGCATTTTGTGACGAAAATGATCGGACTTTTATTTTATTGAACTAAGTCAATGTCTTACCCATGGGCAAAACCTCAGTGTAATACCCACTTTCGGCTTTTTATCACTTATTAGGACTTTTTAACTTTCTAAATGGTAACCTTATATACACGATCTGCAAGATTTTAGAATTTCCGGTATCCCTTACCCTATGCATTAATTTTGTTTAAATCTGCATTTACTTTAAGGCCGCAGATTTTGCACTAAAATTTTTTCATTCACACAAACTTTTGGGGACCCCTCAGGACTTCTGCGGGCCCAGGTGGCCCATGCCTAAAAACGGCACTGCCCCGCCTAAATAAAGCCGTTATTATTATTATTATTGTAAAATACAAGTTTGAAAAATCTTGAAAAGTTCATTGATACCAGATACAAGTGTAGTAAATGCATTTGCCATGGAATTAATACACATAACATAACTGTATTTAAATTTGTAATGATGCAAGCTATGAAACACTAAAAGGCACTAACGAAGCACTAATGGACCTAATTAAGTGGACTCTTCAAGTGAAACCAGTCATATTAACGAATTGTAATTCAGTTTTGCGGTAGAAACAATATAGATGATAATTTAATTTAACTTAAACAAAAGCTTATTGAAGCAAGCTTTTGTTTCCTGAAGGGGGAAGGAGTACAAAATTTAAAAAATCAAATAAATTTCGTAACAAGTCAACAAACGCAAAAATGTAAAACTCAATATTGTACAAATAGAATTAGCCAAGAGCATAGAGTAAATATTTACTCTATGCCAAGAGATAACAATACTGAAATTGCTTATCGTGCGGTAACAAGGTTGAGGATTGAGGCACTATTTGAGCTAGAAAACTATTCATTAGTGATTGGGACAGTGAGTAGTTGAGAAGGAATAAGGGTGTTCCGATTTTTGTTAGCTTCAGTATTACTTGTATTTTTGGTTTAAAAAACATATTTAAATTACGTTTACTACGGGCATCCTTTCGTCATTCTTTAGGGCTATTATAATAAACCATGTACCTACACTGTGGCATTATTTTAAATAGATCCTAGGTGCTCCCGAGCATACAAAAAAAGTCGCACTCCCTTAGTGTTACAATTCCGTGTTACAAACACACCCTTAGTGTTACATAAGTACCTACATCTCGGAGTAAGAACCTTGGGAACTTTTTTACAAAGTCCGAATGTGCGCATATATTCTGTTGTTTTGATTTATTCTTATTAAATGCTAATAAATATTAATAATTTCAAGATCTTACATCTTTCCTTGACATAGGCACTTATTTGAAATGACGGCTCCATATTTAGAATTCAATATTATTTCAATTAACACGCCGATTAAGAGAAATGGATCCTTACCTAAAGTTCAATTCCAAAATATGATTATCTGCCTTTTGTGGATAAAATAAATAAAATTTACATGTTACGTAATAACAGAAATTATAATGCATGCCTCGGTCACGACTAATAGAGGTAGATCCTGCGGAGGCAAACAACAATTTATGGCATGACGTCGACAACGACTGTCGCCGAGTATAGTAGACACCTAAATATACTTGCCCTACTCCTGTATATAATTATTGCCAATGCAAACTGGGTATTCGCAAAGTCTTAGTAAATGTTGCAAAACTCGATGAATACAGTGAACTTTTCAACTTTGTAAAACATGCGATTACTAGTAATATTACTTCACATTACTTGTACGATAATTTTCAATCATCTCAAAAATACTTAACAAGTATTTTAGATTTACTGGCATCATATGAACCACCGGCACCTTTAGTTCACACTTCGTTGGGAAGTATTAGGGGATACCACAAGTATTCGCTGGAGGGACGAAGATTTTCCGCATTTGAAGGTATTCCATATGGACAGCCGCCCGTTGGAGATTTTAGATTTGAGGTAATTATCCATTTATATCTTGACGCTTCTTGATTTAAGACCCTTGTTTTTGGAACTTTTATTTTTATCTTGCTATAAAAATTACTTATATACAAAACCAAAACAACCGTAAATATTGTCGTCCCAAATATACCTAATTCTGTGTCATTTTAGAAAATCCTATTTTATACGAATAAGTAATTTCAAAATTTATGGATATTGACATCAGTTGGTTACGATTTATTATGGCTTACAAGCAAACTCTCTAATGCCCTAAAATGTCTTTATTTTAATTAGTAACGTCGTTTTAAAGGTCATATAATGAAGATCAAATGCGCTTTAACATTTAAATTAATAACTAATTGCATTTGAGTTTCGTAGCCAAGGCTAACACTCGAATGCATAATTCTTTGCAAAATATTTTACTTAGTTTGTATATTTGGTAGTTTTATTAAAAATTTATAGGCACCTAGAAATGTACTTCCTTGGAATACGACATTGGATGCTCGTACTTTATTTGTATGCTCGCAAGTAAAGAATTCGTTTTTTGCAGATAAACCTGGTAATTATTAAAAAATACTTTCGACTAGTTCTAAACTAAATCTTTTTCAGATCAAGAAGACTGTTTATATCTCAACGTGTACGTCCCCAAAGAGCAACCATCCGAAAATGACAACTTTGACGTTGTTGTTAAGATACATGGAGGTGCATTTACGTATGGGGATGGTAGCGTGGCTTCACCTGGTTTCATTATGGATCGTGATCTAGTATACGTTAACTTTAACTATAGGCTTGGTCCTTTAGGTAAAATTAAAGTAGCGAATTCAGTTGATCATTTGTGCATTTTCCAGGATTTTTAAGTACTGGAGATAATATCGTACCAGGAAACAATGGGCTTAAAGATCAACAGCTTGCACTTCAATGGGTTCAAACACATATCAAACGATTTGGAGGCAATCCTAATTCGGTTACTCTTATGGGTCAATCGGCGGGTAGTGCTTCAGTTCATTTTCACTATTTTTCACCAAAATCTAGAGGTGCCTAGTTACACTGAGGTGTTGTATGATTTATCATGTATCTATTCAGGTTTATTCCACAGAGGGTTATCACAAAGTGGCACTGTGCTAATGCCTTGGGCGATTCAAGCGGGTGCTTTGAAAGAGACGCAAAAACTAGCTGCGTCGTTGAATTGCGAAAATTCAGATACACGAATGATGATCTCCTGTTTGAAACATATTCCGGTTCACCACCTTCTTTTAAAAGCCAAAGAGCTTTTCCGTTTTAATATTTTTCCTTTAACTCCGTTTGCACCTGTAGTTGAGGTCGAGTCAGACTCTGCCTTTATGACAAAACACCCTTATCTACAATTGTCAAGTGGAGAAGTATACGATATTCCGTGGTTAGCGTGGAGAGCGTCCGATGAAGGAATCTTTCTTGGTGTCTTAGGTATTACTACCAATTAGTTTAAATCTCTTGAAATGTACCTATTTTTAGCACCTCCCGCACCTTATGACGAAATTGAAAAGCATTGGGATGAATGGTCTCCGTGGATATTCAACTACGAATTCACTGTGGCTGAAAGCCAGAAAACTGCAGTGGCTCATAAAATTAAATCATACTACTTCCCAAATGAGAAAGTCTCCCATAAGAATGTTAAGAAATTCGTTGACGTAAGAATTCTGCTTCGGGGCAGGTACATTTGAACAACTTATTGTAGCTTATGGGCGATCGGTATTTTAATGTGGGATTTGAACAAGCAATAACAATGCAAGCCAACCTTGGAAAATCGCCAGTATACGCCGGCATATACTGCTTCAATAAGACAAATGGTTTGGCCAAAGGCAGTGGTGTAGATGGTTAGGGTGCTACATAACGCAAAAAGTGATTCAAGCAACCATTTTACAGGGGTGACACACGGGGATGATAACTTATTATTACACGATGATAAACCTATACGAGATATTAGACTGTCAACACCAGAAACAGACATGAAGAACTTGCTGTTGGATATACTTGCATCGTATGCGAAAAAGGGGTAAGTACCTACTCTATATTATCAAGAATGCAATTAAAGTAAACGAAATTAAAGTAAACCGGAGGCGACTGGGATAAATTGGGAACCAGTGACCCCAGGGAAGTTTAATTATTTACTGATGTGTGACGCTCACGATTCCAATATGGTGGAAAAAGTCGAATTTGGAACCAAACAGTTTTGGGAAAGTTTGGACATTAAGGAAAATGGTAACACACAACGAGATGAACTCTAATAGAACTTTGCTACTACTACTAATACCGCATAATTCGGGTGTGAAGTTTCCCAAAATTACTGATCTACGTATGCGTTGTGCTAAACTTTCCTCTGTAATTGTACATTTGTGAATATGGTATTTTGATTCATTCATTTTTCCCTTACTGACCTTACTATCATACATAAACCATGAGGCATGTTTTATAATGGAGGATCATTAAGTTGAAGAGGCTGGAATTAAAGACAGGTACCTAATAGTCGCTTCTAAATTGGCGAAACGTTGTGGCACTCAAAAATCAACAATTTGGTGCTAATAATTTGCTTTGCATGTACTATGCTAACATCACTAAAATGAGGTATTTGACCTGGAATTAATAGCATGCAATTCAAATGTGGTATGATAGCTAGTAACTACTCATTATGATGATTTTGTAGGTCCAGCTTTTCCGCCAAGTCCGAAAAAAAATTCTGGTGTCAACCGCTACGAACTGAATTTAAGTCTATCGTTTGTTACACTTTATTTTTCCGTTATGCTGTTGCAATAAAGTTTCATATATGTGTTTATAGTATATTGCTGTGTTTATTTCGTCTGGCAAGATGAAATTTTCAGAAATCTTAATTAAGATGGATAAGGGCGGTTTCTTTTTTGTGTAATTAACATTTGTAATTAAATTTTATTAAATTGTCGTTGGTCTAAGTGACGGCACGGAGATTATTGCCATACGAGAAAGCGGTCAAGGTTGTTGTTTTTACATTTTCGTGGAATTTCCGGGAATTTTGTTTGGTTTTTATCTGTTATCAATTGTAACTGCATAATTTAATTGACAGGTGATGTGATTTAACGCCTTTTCTGTGCAGTTAAAAGAGATTAAATTTTATTATCCTAGAATTTAAATTGGATTTATCACTTAATGTCTGATAAGAAATTGATTTATAAAAATTAATCTACCTTAATTTTTCTTGGCGTATTAACGTACGTTGAGGGGATAGTCTTTGTTGTCAACTGTGCATTATTGGTTGTTGTAATTTTAATTTTCGGAAGAAGGGTTTTCGCCTTAAAGAGGACGTTAGCAAGAAAAGCGTTGCTTTTAGCCACGTTCAGCTCGGAACTACGTTCCGTTGAAGTTTTAAATCGCTTTTTGCTACAGGCAACGCAGAACTACGTTTCTTTGAAAATATAATCAGTTTTTTTGCTACGTTCAGAGTAGAGTTACGTCTCGTTGAAGAATTTATCTCGTTTCTAGCGAGTTCCATCGATGATTATTAACGATCCTCGAGATCGTTTATAATTTTGTATTGCTGTCTGTCTGTCCGTGTGCACGATAACTGTGTAGAAACGTCCAATCGCTTTGAAAATTGATACACATGTTCTTCAGGATATATGGCGTTATGCTGTTATCATGTTCAATGCCGCCGATAGCCACCCTATCTCGGGGGTGGCAATTTTTTATTGTAATCTTAACACAGGTATAAATTAATTCTAAGCAAAAAGTGTTCCATATATTTTTTTGGAAAGTTAATACTTCTCCAGTTATTCGCTACCAAAAGTGTGAGATTTTCGTAGAAAAGACTAATGTTTTTAATTGGTTATTGGCGAAAAACTCGAGAAGTACCTATGCATTTTATGAACAAAACTGTGGAGAACAAAAATCGTAGCTTTAAAAAAAATAAAGAAAATAGTAATTGCTATATGACCAATACGAACCGGAGTTGTGGCTTGTTAAAGGTTAGCTCTTGGTCCTCAAACGCTAAATTAGAGAGTTTCAGAGTCAAATAACGCCAAAACTATGCATTTTTCGAAAAAATCTTGTAGAATGTTTTTTAAAGTAGGTACCTATTTCAAAAACCTTTCTTCTTGTTCTTAAAAACAAACTGTCGCATAAAAATTAAGCGAGTTACGATGAAAACAAGGTAAATCCGTACTCAATCAGCGCAAACCCCCTAATTACAACTCTAATCTTTATATTCAAAGCTCTAATTAAAATTACTCCTTCTCCTTTCCCAGTTTTCTCTAATTACGTATTATTAATACATTCTAGAAGTGTGACCAGTTTAGAAGACTTAATTTTGAAATAATTGAAGCTAAAAGTGAAAAATGTCTGCAATTTTGTGAAAAACGCCTTTCCCTTCAAAATAACTACAAAACAACTGGAGATACGTCAAAAATGTTACAGCATCCAATTGTAGCTTTTTTAATTCCAAACATTTTCCTCAGCGGGAATTTTCTGTATGATAAAAAATTAGGTGATCTGATATATAGACGTTTAAAACGTGTATTTATATGCGAGCACTACCTGGTTTTAGCCCTTTAAGCTCGCCCCATTTTAAAACTAAGAGTTTTAAAGGGATTTGATGTAAATAACCTTGTAGCTCTTGCAAAGACCCACAAAATAGATTTTTTAATGAACTTCTTTCACAAAAAATAAAGAAGTTATGTTTAAAAAACAAATCACAATTTTTTTCGAATAACATACGACCAATCAGCTAGGTGATTGTTTCAAATTCTAACCAATCAGATTATTTTTTAAGTGATTAAAAGCTAGGTAGCTTTTTATCAGCGATTAAACGCTAGCTAGCTTTTTATCGACGATAAAAATGGGTGTAGGAATGCGTAAAATATATAGTGGTTGTAAAATTTACTGTATTTTATTAATCTCCCTAAAATACAGTCGATCTTGGTTAATTTTATTTTTAATTCACTTAAATTTTGTTGCCCCCTGGGAAAAATTCTCGATCAAAAGCATAAAATAAGTCCAGATTCTAAAACTTTAAACCCGCATAAAAACTAATTTTTGGTTCTATTATTTAACACTTTTCGTAAGCAGATCTTTGGAGCCTTGGAAACTAGTATATCGTAAACTTAGTGCAATTTTGTACTAGACGATCTGGAATGGAGGTTTCCTATACGCCCTTTAAACAGAATCCATCAGTTAGAGTTAGATGAAAATGTGCGCAATATTAAACGAATGAAGTGGTATCCACCTACAATTACTCATTAGCTGTTGATAACATCTAAAGTCTCTTTATTTTTATTAATTATCTTTCATTTAAAATCCAGTTTAGTTTTTGATCTTCTTTATATTTTTCCTTTCGTCCTTTTTATTTGTTATTTCTTTGTTTGTGTTGCGATACTCACTTTGATTGACATTGGATGTGAGACCTTCCAAAGCATTGCACCGATACGCTTTAGTTTCACTTTTTATTTGAAATTGACCAAGTAGGTACGCCCTTGAGAAATTTTTCTATATCTAATCGCCAAACTTATCTGTCTTCCGGGGATAAGAATATGGTTTAGACAGAAATTATAATCCATGCCCAAATCGTACGGAGGCAAATAATAAATTATGGCATGCTACAACGGTCGCCGAGTAATATAATAGTACTTAGTAGTTTCAATCACCTTTAAAACATGCGATTGCTAGTAGTATTACTCCACATCACTTGTAAGCTACCTACAATAATTTTAAACTACTTCAAAAGTAATTAACAAGGATTTTAGATTTACTAGCTTTTGAATCACGGGCACCTTTAGTTCGCACTTCTTTAGGAAACATTAGGGGATACCACAAGTATTCGCTGGAGGGTCGAAGATTTTCCGCATTTGAAGGTATTCCATATGGACAGCCGCCTGTTGGAGATTTTCGATTTGAGGTAATTATCCATTGATATCTTGACGCTTCTTGATTTAAAACCTTATAGTTTTTGGAACCTTTATTTTGTTTCCATAATTCCTTGCAAAATAGTTTTCAATTTATGTAGTTTATAGGAATTATGGTAGTTTTATTAAATATTTATAGGCACCTAGAAATGTACTTCCTTGGAATACGACATTGGATGCTCGTACTTTATTTGTATGCTCGCAAGTAAAGAATTCGTTTTTTGCAGATAAACCTGGTAATTATTATTAAGAAATGCTTTCGACTAGTTCTAAACTAAATCTTTTTCAGATCAAGAAGACTGTTTATATCTCAACGTGTACGTCCCCAAAGAGCAACCATCCGAAAATGACAAATTTGACGTTGTTGTTAAGATACACGGGGGCTCATTTACGTATGGGGATGGTAGCGTGGCATCACCTGGTTTCATTATGGATCGTGACCTAGTATACGTTAACTTGAACTATAGGCTTGGTCCTTTAGGTAAAATTAAAGTAGCGAATTCAGTTGATCATTTGTGCATTTTTCAGGATTTTTAAGTACTGGAGATAATATCGTACCAGGAAACAATGGGCTTAAAGATCAACAGCTTGCACTTCAATGGGTTCAAACACATATTAAACAATTTGGAGGCAATCCTAATTCGGTTACTCTTATGGGTCAATCGGCAGGTGGTGTTTCAGTTCATTTTCACTATTTTTCTCCAAAATCTAGAGGTGCCTAGTTACACTGAGGTGTTGTATGATTTATCATGTATCTATTCAGGTTTATTCCACAGAGGTTTATCACAAAGTGGCACTGTGCTACTGCCTTGGGCGATTCAAGCGGGTCCCTTAAAAGGGGCGCAAACACTAGCTGCGTCGTTGAATTGTGAAAATTCAGATACACGAATGATGATAGCCTGTTTGAAACATGTTCCCGTTCACGATCTCCTTTCAAAAGCCAAAAATCTTTTCCGTTTGAATACATTGCCTTTAGCTCCGTTTGCACCTGTAGTTGAGGTTGAGTCAGACACTGCCTTTATGACAAAACACCCTTACCTACAATTGTTAAGTGGAGAAGTATACGATGTTCCATGGTTAGCGTGGAGAACATCCGATGAAGGAATCTTTCTTGGTGTCTTAGGTATTCAACCAATTGGTATAAATCCTCGTTGATAAACTATGATATGTATTTTAGCACCCCCTGCACCCTATGACGAAATTGAAAAGCATTGGGATGAATGGGCTCCGTGCGTGTTCAACTACGATTTCACTGTGGCTGACAGCCAGAAAACTGCAGTGGCTCATAAAATTAAATCGTACTACTTCCAAAATGAGACAGTCTCCCATAGGAATGTTAAGAAATTCTCTGACGTAAGAATTCTGTTGCGGTACAGGTACTTTTGAACAACTTATTGTAGCTAATGGGCGATCGGTATTTTAATGTGGGATTTGAAGAGGCAATAGCAATGCAAGCCAACCTTGGAAAATCGCCAGTATACGCCGGCATATACTGCTTCAATAAGACAAATGGTTTGGCCAAAGGCAGTGGTGTAGATGGTTAGAGTGCTACATAATGCAAAAAGTCATTTCAAGCAACGTTTTTACAGGGGTGACACATGGGGATGATAACTTATTATTACACGATGATAAACCTATACGAGATATTAGACTGTCAACACCAGAAACAGACATAAAAAACTTTCTATTGGATATTCTTTCGTCGTATGCGAAAAACGGGTAAGTATACTCTTCATTGTGAAGAATGTAATTAAAAGGGACATATTTAGTAAACCGGAGGCGACTGGGATAAATTGGGAACCAGTGGCTCAGGGGAAGTTTAATTACTTATTGATGTGCGATGCTGACGATTCCCATATGGTGGAAAAAGTCGAATTTGGTGCCGAACAGTTTTGGGAAAGTTTGGACATTAAGGAAAACGGTAACATTAAACGAAATGAACTTAAATAAAAGGAATGACATTATGCGACGTGTCTCTATTCAACATATGATCACCGTCGATATCTCATAAACGTTCTGTATATTTCGAAGACAAGCTCAAAGTTTACCTTTATTGTGATTTCAATTACAATTTGCACTATTTAGTTAGCATAGATGATCAGAATGCAGAATGTTAAGTCACTTTATGAAAACAGAAGCTTGTCAGGTATTTAGGATATCAAACGATATTCCCTATTTTCCCATTTTTTTTTACTACTGTTTCATGTACAGGGTGGCCAAATAAGAATGCGAGGAGGGAAACTGTCCATCGTAGAGGCTTGCGGTAAAAAAATTTATTACTAAAACGGCCACGAGCAAAACCTGGAAAATATTTTTAAGTTTCTGCAATGGCCGTTAGGGGGCGTAACTGCAATCTGGAATCTAAAAAAGTGATTTTTCTGTGAATTCCGCTATATTAACCTAACAAAAAAATGTCCGGTCTTTGAAGTTGACGATAATCTTAATAAGAAAAAGTGTTTTCGCGAGATATTTTGGTGTAGTCGATTTTTGGTAAAAAATGAAGGTTATACACTGCCTTTTTTTGAGCCCCGAGAAAAAAAATGTCGCAGATCGACCCGGAAAAAATTTTCCTTATAGAATGTGGCCTGTAGAATCCATAATTTCAAACAGTTCCAAGATTGGGCTACTAGTTCAAAAGTTACAGCCCTTTGAATTTTCTTTCGAAATTGGTTCTAGTCTATAACTTTTGATTGAGAAGTCTGATCGAAAAAGTACGAATTGTTTTGGATTCTACGCACCAAAATTAATAAGGAAAAGTGTTTTCCCGAGAAATTTTGGTGCAGTCGATTTTTGGAAAAAAGGAAGGTTATACACTGCCTTTTTTTTGCTCCGAAAAAAAAAATTGTCTCAGATCGACCCGGGAAAAAAGTTTTCTTATAGAACGTGGCCTGTAGAATCCATAATTTCAAACAGTTCCAAGATTGGGCTACTAGTTCAAAAGTTACACCCCTTTGAATTTTTTTTCCAAATTAGTTTCGAGTCTATAACTTTTGATTTGATTTGATTTATTTATAATTCCTTTTGACAATTATCGATATTGTATAGGAAGCGTCAAGAATAAGTATATGACAAACAATTAATGAGACATTAAACTATGACAAACATTAGATACATAAAAGAGACAATTCAACATACTACTTCTCATTACAAAATTTGAAATATTCGGCGATGGAGTAAAAACAATTTTCATTTAAGTAACTTTTAAGTTGACATTTAAATTGCTGCAGGTTACAGGAACTCTTTATATATTGCGGTAGAGTATTATATATTTGTGGACCCAGGAACGCAGGAGAGTGTTGCGATACTTTTAATGTTGCTTTCGGGAGATACAGGTTGTCTTTTGTCCTGGTGTTGTGGTTGTGTATATCCGATTTTAAGGTGTGATCATTCTTGTTTGCGAAGACATAGATACTAAGTTCATATATTAGCATACTTGGTAATGTTAATATTTGAAAATTTTTAAAAATTAGTCTACATGACGTTGTACCACTAACGCCAGCAATTTGCCTTACAATCTTTTTTTGGGCAACTAATACCTTACTAGTGATTGAGAAGTCTGATCGAAAAAGTATGAATTGATTTGGATTCTACGCACCCAAATTAATAAGAAAAAGTGTTTTCCCTAGAAATTATGGTGTAGTCGATTTTTGGTAAAAAAGGAAGGTTATACACTGCCTTTTTTTGAGCCCCGAGAAAAAAATTGTCTCAGATCGACCCGGAAAAAAAATTTCTTATAGAATGTGGCCTGTAGAATCCATAATGCTATGCTTTTTGCCGGAGAATGTATAATGTTCTCCGAAATTGTCTATTTGTGAATGTGGTATTGGTATTACAAAGAATGTGATCACTTGATTCATTCATTTTTCTATGCCATTTGTCATGCATGTCATACATAAACCCGAGCTGTATTTTATAATAGATCATTATGTTAATTGGAGAATACCTCAATAGTAGTTTCTATAAGTTGGCGAAATCTTGTAGTATTCAAAAAATTAACATAAATTGGTACCAATAATTTGCTTTGCAAGTATATGCCTATGCCAACAACAATAAAATGTTAAATGAGATATGTGACCTGCAATTAATAGCATGCGATGTAATTTAGGTACAACTGCTGATTATGATGATTTTGCAGGTCCAGATTTTCCACCGACTCCGAACAAAAAATCTGATGCCAACCGCTACGAACAGAATTTAAACTTACCGTCTGTTACACTGTATTTTTTCTTTATGTTGTTTCAATAAAGTTTGAATGTGGTGTATAGTATATGTACTATCTAAGCAAAATAAGGAATAACAAATTGTATTTCCTAGATCACTTCATTGAAAGTTTAGAAAAATCATTAAAAAAAGATTTCACATTGTTTAAATTTAATTTTTGTATATATACATCTAGATAATTAAGCGAAATATTTAAACTTGTGTAACGGAGAAAACAATCACTATAACAAATAAATTTCGTTCAACTGTTTTTCCGCCGGGAGACTGCCTAGGATACATGCGCTATTTTCGCATTGGATAGCCAGGGATATTCTTTGGAATAAAAATTGCGCGATAAGATTGTCGGTATTTCTTGAATTCTTCTCAGACCGAGAAACAGAAAACTTGAAGAGAAAAGAAGATAGATCTTCAGCTCGTTCTAAACTATCCTCTGACTCCAGTTTCGTTGTCTCTATGCAACATTGATGGATCGATGATTAAAATCGACAAGTTTGTTTTGCTGAAACTTTTTCGAAAGTATGATTTCTTCAAGTGCTCCCAGTCCATCGTCAGTTGTAGATGTTGTTTTAATCGATGGATTATTTTTTTTGCATCTTTTAAAAGATCTCCGGTAAACCTTTGAGCAATTTTCTGAACACATCCTCGGCAAGATTTGTGCTGTCAGCGAGAGAAGTACATCTTACTTTTGACAGATAGTTGCCCCTTCCATGAAGGACGCAGAACATGATCGTTGGGATCAAAATAAGGAAAGATTACAATCCTACTCAATTTATGTTTCCACTCAGAAGCAGCCTGGAAATTTCATAAAACCACTTCGCAATGATAGCTCAAAGCCTCTCTTATAGATTACTTATACCGTTCATAGGCAAAAAAGACCTGTTGTTGTTGGAAGGAAAGTTGTGTTTGCCACATATGAAGATAAGTGCTATAAATTTGTGACAAGGGAAGATGATGTGGTAAAAACTGAATTGTGCTGCAGCCACTAAGAGGTAGATTCTCGAATAATTTACCATCTTGGTAATCTACCAACAAGTAGCAAAGTCATACTAGCGCTTCCGATATGGATATTGCTTTGGGAAATGTAAAATTGACGCTACCATCAAGGTATAGATGGAAGTAGGTCTGTTTTCCAATAACACACAGAAATTCATAAATCTTCGAGAGATGTTCGTGAATTTGGGTGTTGATGTGTGTAACGCGCAGGGTAACCCGTTACCGGGTTCCCACGCATTTACCAGATGTATGACTTGTGTATGGTCCTCATCGTTTAGTTCATCGCAATTTGGGCGAATGCCACCGAAAAATGTCTGAGTTTCTACAATCCGTTTGATTGAAGTGGATGGAACTATGTGAATCAGAAGTTTAGAATCAAATGGTTTGAAAGATCTCAGTAGTCAGTATCCTATCGCTATCTCTGTTGGTTATGCTCTCGCGCGCTTATCTCTCACACGCTCGCACTCGCTGGGATTTACTATACCTAAATGTTTTAACTTCTAAGACGTCTGCCACTATTAAAGCTTATGTCGCTTATGGTTTAGTTACTATGTACGCTGCCTCCCGGTCTATATAGAGAATTGTATGAAAATTGGGGGAAATACGCTTATTCCCAATATTTTTATTCACGGACGGGAATTTGTTGCACCTCTTTGTAAAGCCTCCTTGCTCATTGGCTTTAGGGTATAGGTATCCGCGAAAGTACAGTCTATCATTATTTCTCCTAAAAACGGTAGAGAAGCTGGTGGATGCACACATATAAGGAATTTTTGCAGCCTCGTGTGCCAGTTGGAGAGGGGAACGTTTGTTTGGAGGAAAGGGAGGGGGCTGAGCGCATTTCTAGATATCAAAGGTGTGTTAAACCACAATCAATTACATTAGTGAGGTCGCTGAAGCATTAGGATTGATGGATTATTCAATAGCGGATACGCGTCATGCTTGGAAGCACTGCCCTTATATCTTCAATCGGGAGAATGGAGCAAACGATCTAGCGAACGTCATAACTAGAAAGTTTCAAAACACTGTGAAAGTGGCGAAGTAACCATAGCCTTTCCACTAACCCAGATAAGACCGAGGTTGTTCCATTCACTATAACATAAAGGGGCTTGCTTTTCAAGTGAAATATTTGAGAGTCATTATAGACTCCCCCCCTGACAAGAGCACATTGATCAAATATTCAAATAAGCCAAAAGGCAAGTGACCCTCCATAGACGTTACCGTAATAATCATATACAGTGCTATTCATTTAGAAGTAGACATAATCTCTTCTGAAGGGCGCCTAATTTTATGCAACCAAAATAACTTCTAAAAACAAAGATCTGGCTGTCACATTTAACTAATTTGAATATTGTTGCTTTGGGTTCGGTATTTTTATTTTCATTCGTGTGCGATGTATTCAACTGAAGAAGAAGTTGATATTGCCAAGTGGTATAGTGCCGGAAACAGTTTAAGAGCGTAAAAGATTTAGTGTCTGTTAACCCAAAACAACCATATTCCAACTAATTTATTATTATGACAGCCAGACGTTTATTTGTTTTTAAAAGTTATTTTAGATGCATAAAATTAGGCGCTCTTCAGAAGAGATTTTATCTGTTAAAAGTAGACATAGGGAAAAACACACGTACATCCCTATGCCTACTTCTTAATAAATATCACTGTATATACATATTATGCAGTGACAGTCAGGCGATGCTGAGGGCCCTGTCTGCCGATAGGTTCCAATCAGCCATGGCGCTCGATTGCATGCGAACTACTCTACATAGATTAGGTGTATAATGGCCGTTTGCACCGAGAAATAAAACTTAGCTTAAACATATCCATGGCAACCATTGTCGCAATAATCATTGCCATGGATTTTAAGCTAAGCAAATGCAAACGCCATAATAGACTTGATCTGAGTGGCAGTGCACTGTGGAATAGGGGGAAACAGAAGGGTGGACGATTTTGCTTGCGGGGTAGTGGTGGAGGAAGGGGGGGGGGATGTCATTGTCTGGTCCGAACCTACGAGGAATGTAGTAAATGAATTAATTTATTTAGGCAAAGTTTAAATATTAACAATAATACATATTACTTTAAAATGAAGCGAACTACTTAACATAAGATCTACCAGATTGTAATTAATCAAACATGATCTTGTATAGGCATAAAGTTAATACTGTGACTACACTTTAATACACTAGCGCCAGCATCTACAAAGCTTACACAATTGTTTGCATTTCGCTAAATAACAACTATATTTGGTAAAATTGTAACACTATACAAAACAAAATTATATCCTCCCTTTCGACTTTGACCTTAATGACTAAGTAAACTTTCCCTGTCTGGTAATAATCGTACCTTCATGCTCCCGTCAGCTCCGCATGAGAATAAACGTGCACAAGAGTCTATGTGCAGTTGAGTAACGCCTTGGCCAATATTTTTGAAAAAACTGCTACGAGCGTGCTCTGCGGGTAACGTCAATAATACTGTTGGAACAGTTACGCCCCAAATCTGTAGTTGTTAAACGTATAAACGCCAAGAAGTTCCGAACAAAGACTTACCTTAATGTCTCCGTCCGCAGATCCAGTCGCAAAATACTCCTCATGTGGATCAATTGCGACACACTTAACCGCACTTTCGTGTGCCTGAAACCGATGACGTATTGTTTTCGACCGAACATCGATTAGACAACTATCGCCCTTCTTCCCTGTAGAAACTAGGAGTTGGTGTTGGGGGGCGTAAACGAGACTACTGGCGCCTTGCTCGTGGCAGGTGAATGCAACTACCATAGATTTGCCATGTGGTAGTATAGAATCCCATATACATACATTTTTACTTTCAGAACTGTGACCGGCTATCAAAATAGTGTATTGAAACAGAGAGAACTTAAACAGATGTCTTACCTGTGGCCAACAAACTACACGAGCCCAGAAATACAAAGTCGCTTATTCCTTTATTATGGCACTGGTGTGTCTAATCAAAATTAAAGCGTTGTTAGTCTAGGACGTTAACGGGAAATTGTGTCTGGGTGCATTTACAACTAATTAGGAACAAATACTTACAAAAAATGGACGCGTTGCGTTAGCAGAAAGTCCAACTTGCCACAAACTCAGGTTGCCATCGGAATCTCCAACTCCAAACTTGTTGCCGTGCTGCGAAAACCGCACTCTCGTCACTTTGGCATATGTTCCCGGAGGTCTCGGTGTAGCAACCGGTTGGGAATGGTTCCATTCCCACAACTGCACGGAGCCATCTTGGCCACCAGTTAAATCTGAAATAGTACGTCGGAAGGGGACGGTCTTTACCTTTGATAATTACTCTTACACAATGGCAACAATGGATGCGAGCATATTCGTCGTATACCATCGACTCGATGTTTCAGAACCTAACGAAATAAACAAAATTTTATATGCGAGGAACTGTGTAAAATGTCATACTTATAGAGTACTTCTTGCTTAAAATATAACATAAGACAATGATATTAAGCAACCAACATAAAAGCAGCCTACTACTACACTATGGTCAAATAGATACCTACTAGATTCTTCTACAAAATATAAACGACAGGCAAGAAGTTCTAACTGTTAATATATGAAATGAAAATTATGCAGGTTAACATTAACAAGCACTACAGACAGCAGTGTTAGAGACGAACCGGCCGAAGCATGTGTGCCGATCTCAGCAGCACAAGGCGGACAAAGTTCGGATCATGACATCCAGGAAAACTTAACCCCTTCATCTACAGACACATTCATACAATTTCAATTTTTGCGCAGAAATTTCAAAAAAAAAGGAACATAAGCATACTTTACCCACACGACGTGTAACGATACTATGAGTAGGTAGGTACATAATGTGTATATCAATTATCAGTTAAATGTATTCCAGGTTTGGTTGTCTGTAAGGGATTTCTGTTGTAACTGTAGCTTCGTAAAGTGCCATTTTTTAATAGTGAGCATTGTTAGAATAGAAATCCTTTAATATCAAGGGCAAAGTGCATAAGAACAGCATCAGTTGTACAATCACTGTGAAATTGCAATAGACTAGAAACCAATTTCAAAAGAAAATTCAAAGGGCTGTAACTTTTGAACTAGTAGCCCAATCTTGGAACTGTTTGAAATTATGGATTCTACAGGCCACGTTCCATAAGAAAAATTTTTTTCCGAGTCGATCTGAGACAATTTTTTGTTCGGGGCAAAAAAAAGGCATTTTCTATTTGGCGCCCAACGTGGGGCCACAACAATATATCTAATTACAAATTATTTGAATCTCCTGGTGAAGACTTTTGAAAGAAATTCATCAATGACTCAGTATCATGAGCAGACTGGTTCACTTGCGTCAATTGAATTTCTTATTCTTATGCACTTTGCCCAATAACAACACATGATTTCAAATTAGAGAACCAAAACGAAATGAGTTCACCAATAGAAATGAACCTATGAATATCAACTTACCACTGTGGTGCCACGCCCGCTTTGACTGGCAATTCCAGATGGTGGACTTCCGGGCTGTTGATCTTTCGTCTTATCGCCCGCGCTGTGAATGACTAAGAAGGGCGGAACCGTTACCTCCGTCGAGTCCTGTTTCAAATTCAATATGTCCAATTCACACTCGTCTTCTAACCAAGCAGGTAGTTCTAACAGCAACGAGATGTCCATTTCTTGTAATTCGCGAGGAGTTGCAATCACAATTAACCCATTGTTAACCTAAAACAATTTTTTAAATTTGTCCACAAGACCAAGGGTACCTGGTTAAGGCTGAATGCGGCTATTGAATCTTGCTCTTTATGTATAATTCGCACAGGTTCAACGGCCGGCGGCTCGGGATGCTGGGAAACTAGTTCGTCAATTGCGCAAACGGACTTGCGCTTCCCAAATACAGCCCTAATGAAAATGTCTTGGACAGAATCTTGGTGGACCAAGAATGTCCACAACCGACGGACAGCGCTCGCGACACTTTTGTTTATGAACGGAGTGTTGTGAGGCTCAAGCAGTTGCCTGAAACAAACTGTAGAACTTGGAACGGGACTAAATAGTACACACCTATACTTCTGTAACGGTGGCCCACTTGTACTCTCAACAAAACAACCAGGTATGTACTCCACAGGGGACTGCCGTTTATCGAGTTCTTTCTTCAAACTATCCTGCCATTTCATTAGACGTCGCAAACTGCTGTGAATTAGTGGGCTGGCCACAGGCAATTCGGACACTTCTAAACCTGCCACCTGAATCATAGTGTTCTAACCGACTGCGTGCAAGACTTGGAAACTTACAGCGAGGAATTCTTTAATCCGTGTCTCAACGATACGCAATATAGCAAATTTCAATACGACCCAAGAATACGAATTGGGGTCCGAATGTTCGGTATTATTAGTGACTGTAGCCGGTGGAGCATCAAATACGTCCTCTTCCTCACTTTCGGAATCACTCGAAACATCATCGCAGTTGGGGCCCGCATCAGGCTACAAATTTTTCGATTAAAAGCCGTGCTTCGCACACGCTACCGTACCTTTGTAAGTAAGTAGGCTAAGATACTCATTTCAGGAGGTACAAATTGCTCGCGATAGGTGGCCTTATCTTCTTTCATTGTTGCGGGTTGCTGCCCCAGCAACTTGCAGTTCAGTTTCACCCGTTGCTTATTTAGCCACACGGCGGGTCCACTTCCTTCGTCCGTTGGAGTGTTCACAATGCTTTGATTGTTTGACGAATTTGTGACACTTGCAGTACGTAGGAGTTTTTTGGTGCCTCCGCCAAATAACCTACAACGAGCCCTAGTTAGAGGTTCCCTACGAAACCGGCCCTTACTGTCCCCAAGTTTCCTGTGTGAAGGTATGCCCAGTCACGTGGAACAGAATGACACAGTCCAAAGTACACAAACCGTAGAGTAAAAGAGAAAGGTAAGTTGCTGTAAAGGCTTCGCATAAGACGACCGTTAATCTCGGGGTATCCTCGTCCTTTTCGCGCGCTAACAGCGCCCTCAGACTAGTCACGCCTGGCCATTTCGAAGGCAAGGTGTGAATTTGCTGTCTTTCGTTTATCGAACCTCGCCTTCTTCTCCCCACCAAATGTGTCACACACTGATCCTAAAAAAACCATGATTATTATCAATCCCGCCGCTCAAACTCACGACGGCGATGGCGGCTACTAATAAATCAAACCCCCCCCCTCCCCCCCTGACTTCATGCTCTCTCATCCTTCATTTGGCTAGAGAAAATTCAAAGTATTGTACCTGGTTATCCTGTAGAGTGCTTTTGAACGTATCAGAATCACACAAAGATTGATAAATGCATGCCGAAAGTGCGACAGCAAGATCGCGCAATACCAACAGTTGATTCTGCGAGGTGCTCGGTTGAGTCAAGTCGACAATCTGACAAAAAGACAATTCAGTAATGCACAGATGGCGCTGAGACCACTCACAGTGTGTAGCATGTCATGCGTAAGACTTTGTAAGTAGCGGACGGGATCTGCAATGACAGTTTTGCTACTAGCAACACTAGCAGCAAGTAAGGGAAGACTGGTGGGGAACGGTAGGGGGCTTAAAAGCTGCTGTTGAGTTTTTTCTTGCTGCAACTCTTGTAATAGTAGAACGAGCTCCATGCGTACTGACGCCAGTCCACCCGCGGCACCATGTAGAGAACAGTAACTGAGGAACGTACGGAGTAGAGTCTCATTAACTCTAAGCCAGCGCTTTCTGTTGGCGGCGCGTAAAACTTTAGCTTCGAAATCCAGTTTTTCTTGTATAAGAATCTCATGCAAAGTTGGCCTCGCAATGTTACTATCTCCTAATTCACTATCTGCGGTCAATTCTAAATCGGATTCCTCACTATGATCAGAAGCGGTGTAATTGCAAAGTTGACGTAAAGCTTCAACCTCCTTTTCTAACCAAATGTAAAGCTGGTAACGTAACTGCCCACCTACGCATGGAAAAAGATGTAAACGACAGTAACGTGACATACTTCAGCTACACCTAAAGTTAGTGTTCACAAGTAAAAATCAAAGGCAAGTTTAATTCGGGCGACAAATGCACACAAAAAGCTTACTGTTGAATGGGTACGGTTTACGCCTTTTATTAAAACACTTAAACTCTGAAACATTCCGAATTCGTAATTGAGAATGCTGAAAACCCAAGTGGAAATACGTAAACATACCATCAACCTCAAATCCAGTTGCTAACGTCGACAATTCCTCCATTAATATTTTCAAGCATGCCACGAATTTCAACTGCTGAGCCATTATATCAATTTGATCTGCTGACTCGATTCCGTCACCTTCTGTGGCCGGCTCGGGAGGTTCTTCGTTAATTTTCATTTTTAGCCCGTCGTCTGAATCCTCATCCTCTTTCTCATCATCAGACCACTTGAGTTCGAAGTCGTCGGTTTTCACTTTATAATCGGAAACAGCGCCCCAATCGAAATCCGCTGTATTTTCACTCAATTGCGGCTGAATAATTCCCGTATTTATTTGAGACTCAGATTTTGGACCCTTTGGAGTAGCAACTAAAAAGTTAGGGTAGTACAAGGTCAATTGATTTTCATTTTGAAGACACAAAAACTATTCTGAAGGATCTGATTAGTGCTAGTATTGATTTGCTTGAACGCTGTAAGTACATAAGAAAAATACTTGGATGTGGGCAAGTTCAAGGTAGCCTCATCCATTCTGAAAGAAGCATTCCCTGGGACTACTATGAATTTAACCAAACCCAAAAATGAGAACAAACACACAATAGTTAAAACGTTAAAATTACTCATCAAACAAACCTTTCTCAATGGGCGTGGCTACCGTATACCTAGCCATCCAAAACCTTTAGCATAATTTTTGTTGTACAAGTTTAAAATAAAATATGTTACCGGGTGACATATTTTTGGTACGGTCCGTAACGGCAAATGGTAACTTTGACAAAACCTCCAGAGCTAATGCTGGACATCCAGCTCGGAAATGTCCATGCGCGGTGGTAAAATACAACTGACGCTCTAGAGGAGTAATAGTATCCTCAATCATCACCTACACACAATAAATTGAATACATTGTTGCAACGGTATCGTTTGCCTACTTGTTTTCTCCCAGACATCCAAAATTTGCGTTGCCCGGAGCTAGCAATGTGCTGACGAACGAGTAAGGGATGAGTTCTCAGGTAGACATAAAAATTAAACACGTTAGGATCCGCTTGGGTGGTCTCGCGCGAGTCGTCCTCGTGAGCGGCATGCTGTGAACCAGCGTTACCAACTAAAAGTGTGCTTAATGCCGGCTGATGCTCTTTCAGTGTCCATAACGCCATCGAACGCAGGAAAGGATCCGGGTGCGCTTGCGAAATATCTTGATTCTCACCTTTAAACAACCCCACTAAATACTAAACAACCAACCCATGACTTACCATCCGCATCACAGCCTAAAATTTGTTCAAAAAGTAAACGCTTTAAACTTGGACCGTCACCTTCATACAACCGTACTATAATAATTGCTAATTGAAGATCGTGTAACTTATTCAACAACACCTACAACAAAATTATAGTACGCGTGGCAACACAAATGCACCTACTTCAATGGCATCATTTAAATTTCCCGCTAGCAAAAAGAAGGCAGCGGCATGATCAAACCTTTGTTTGCCCAATAACGCATACGCGTTTTTCAAGGCCGCCTTCCTCCATCGGTCGATTGTAAAATCGTTGGAAAAAAATTGGGTCATCTTTTGATCACTTTTCGATCGGTATAACCCCCACAGTAAACTTTTTTTGTTCATGGCGATGTAGTACAAAGCGGCATCTAGCGGATCCTGCTTAACCTTGTACGACGCTTTGGCCAGCACTTGTACACACTGACGAAGAAGATGCAGACCCCGAATCCACCATCCCACGCCCAGCTCCCGTAGATGAAACCAGGTCGGCTCGCCCTTAGCGTAACTCGGGATCAAATTTAATAACTCCTCTTGGGTTTCCGAATGATAAGCCCAGGCCAAATTTGTGGTTCCCACCCCTTGTTTTTGAAATTGGGCGCGTTGTGCCAGTGGAAGACAGCTAAATATGTTACAATTAGCGAAGATCATATTTCGTTGGAGCAATTACCGCAGTAGATAGCCGTAATGTTTCATAGCTAAGAGGAAACGGAGTCCGCAATCATCCAAAGAGTCGACGATTACCTCATCCGACTGACCAATAACGTTCTCTTTTGCCATCGCCGATTTTGCGGCGTCAATGGCGAACCGTTCCGCTAGATCGGTATTGCAGGTGGCGACTGTATCGGCCAGTGCCAACAAATGCATTTGATCTAAACTGGACAATCCGGGTAAGTGAGTGTGAGTGAGCATGCGAGATAACATGCGCCCTAGGGGAGAATTTGAAAATTAAGCTCGTTACATTCCCATGCAAACCTTGTCGCGGTGTGAAGTGCGCAAAACCGGTCGCTCGTTCACTCGGCCTCCTGTCATGTCGTGGAATATCTTGATCCTCAAGTAATGTATCTAATGACTCTTCCATAATTGTGTTGTTATCAAACAGTTCATTGTAGTCTTTCTTCTCTTCCTTAATTGCTAGAATAATTTATTTGAAATATGTACATATTTGCATTATGGTTAGCATGTTATAGCTCATAAAGGTTTTGCCCTGTTATTGGTCTTATACTGTTGGGTAAATACAGGGTGATTCCTATAGTACCTGCCACCGTTTGGGAGCGTGTAGGTGGTGCGTAGGGGAGTATTTTGATATAGGACACTTGGGGTCGGAAATCTAAAATAAGGGTGCCAGAGCCAAATTTACCTTCTGGAATTTCGCGCCTGTAGGTAGGCAACCCAACCGGCCGGCGGTGCACACGGAGCGATCTCAGGCGGCGATGTGTGGCTGACACTTGATCAGAATTTTGTTTAAACCCACGAAATCCCGTCTGCAACGACGCGTATCAAGTGAATAAACACTATGGCAATAGTATAATAATAGTTGGCTAGATGTAGGAAGTGCATTGAGAACCAACGGTGGCCACGTTGAACACTTGTAAACGTTATTGCTTTTGACTGTCGTTTTCCCTCCTTCCCTCCCATGTCGCTTCCTCGCGCTAACTCGCTCTGCATCGCTCCGCGCGAAACGTCGGTCGGTTGGGTTGCCTACATACAGGCGTGAAATTCCAGAAGATAAATTTGGTTCTGGCGCCCTTATTTTAGATTTCCGACCCCAAGTGTCCTATATCAAAATACTCCCCTAGGCACCCCCTATACGCTCCCAAACGGTGGCAGGTACTATAGGAATCACCCTGTATATGTTATTATTATTATTATTATATCAACAAATAGTTCAATGTCTGTTTTCACAGTGCTACTTTGACTATTCGGTGCAAAGAAATACCACATTCACAGTTGCAGAGTCTGAATCTGATTCTTTTTGTTCTAACTTATTGCTTTACAAAAAAATTAAGGTGTGGCCTGGCTAACTTGCAAAAGGGGGTATTAACAAACAATTCCAAATACCTGTTTCAGAATTATGTTTACCTATACCTACTTTATAAAACCTTTAAGCTAGGAAAGGTAAGGATCTATCTAGTTATGGATAAACAATGAAAGTTTATATAAGAGGCTAATATAGAATTGATACGTGATCACGTTGTTTTTTTATGAACCAAACTACCATTTTAAATCAAGGAAAACGTAAGAAAAATGGAATTGTGATCAATTAAACCAGGTTTAAACGTTCAGATTTAAAGAGGAGGTAAAACCATTGAGTAATTAAATACGAGAAGAGACGCAACCATATGACGCTTTATGTCGCCACCGCGTCCCGTGGTGATCTAGGCGGCGTAACCTGAACATCCCGTCGAGTTTTCCAATACAAGGCTGGAACTGCAACGGCGAGGTTGGTTGCAATTAGTAATGTAACAGCGACTCGAGTTAAAATGGGCGGCGATTCTTGCGCTTATATCAATTGCAATTCAAACTCGAAAAGCAAACCAAAACTGACATTGTTTAAGTTCCCTGCTGATACAGACAGAATTAGCGAGTGGGTGAAGAATTCGGGAAATATTAAATTAGTTTTAAATAGCAACTTTAAGTATAAGTTTATATGTGAGAAGCATTTTAATGAACGCGACTTTTATGTCAGTGGCAAAAGAAAACTCTTACGTAAAGGTGCAATCCCAGTAAAATATGAAATGGGTAAATTACGTTAATTATTTTGATCGGTCAAGCCTTGTAATGCAAAATTCAGCTGATAAATTAAATTAATGCAATCAATATATTGCAAGGAAAAGTTAAAATAATCGATAGTATTTTCATTATTCAGTGGCAGTGTCTGTTCTCGTCATGTAAATACGGTTACTTCTATTGTAGAATAAATTATTCATTTTGCTTTTCATAGTATTAATTAAAAATTAAGCTATCAGCCGCTGGCGAAAATAAAGCGAAATTAAAAGAACATAAAAAATCACAGTTAATTCAAAAAATTAGAACGGGCTCTGCACATCACACTACTCCCCATTCTCAATATTAATTATTCTGATTCTCTTAAAGGAAGACAATACATCCAGTTATGGCGTGAGAAACCGTCCGATAGGCTCCCCAAACATGTACACTTTTGCAAAAAAGTATAAGTTAGCCCTTTCTAACCCTCCCAGTCCTACGCCATCGCATGTATCTGTGGTTAGCGATAGAATTTTACACATGCAATCCCTGGATTCGATAGGTAATAGAAACAGGGAAAGTGAAGAAGTTATCTGTTAAAGTTTACGAACTTAGGAAAAAATTAAAGGCAAAACAAGTTTCAGCACTTCGATTGAAGAAAAAAGCATCAGTCTCGTCGTTTGGTTTGATAGAAAAGCTGTTAAAAAACAAAAGTAATGCTGTTAAGACTTTTACAAAAATGCAAATATTTCACCACCAGCGAAGACCCTGGACCAAAGCAGAGAAAGATCTAGCATTATCGTTTTATTACAAATCGCCATCTCTATATAAGTTTATGCTTAAGAATTTACGATTTACTCTTCCTTCCTATCGAACTATACAAAAATGGAATAGTGTTTTTAAATTAAAAACTGGGTAAGAACTTAAACCTACTGACCGTGGTGCTTACGCTATTTTTTGCACGATCAATTTATAATTGATATAAACTAAATTCCAATGTATCAATGTGGTAGCATCACAATGGGTTCAGTAATTTTTTGTGGGTTGCTACAGTTACGTTTCTGTTTTTGAAAACAAAACAACACGTGCGCGAAACGTGGTTTGGTTGAGACTAANTCAAAGTTGGACTGGGTCAGTGGGTCAACTGGGTCACTGAATTAAACTGGGTCACTGGGTTACGTCATACTCTCTTCAGTTAGACCCAGTGATCCGGTTTGACCCAGCGACCCAACTTCACCTGGGGACCCAATTTGACCCAGTAACCTAGTTTGATCGAATGTGATGTTTGCTTTAATACTGCCGTAAAAAAACTTTCCATGTCCCGAATTGTATTATAGTAATGTTATTTCTGAACAGTTCATTTCTTTGCTTCAGGGCTTACCAGTTGCTTACTGGTGTTCATTCACATTTAATTTTTTTCTACTAGTTAGCTTAATCCAAATAAATCTTTTCTCTAAATACTTTCATTGACTACTTGACTACAAACTATAAACAAATGCATTTGATTTTTTAGGTATTAGTTCTCTTGAATGAAATTGGGCTACGTGCTTGTTGGCGAATATTATTGAGGAAATTTTTTTTTAAATTAAAAGTTACTTGAAATTGTTTTGGATGCCAAAATGTAAATACCAATACAAACCTAATGCTATAAATTTGAATAAAAATTAACCTTAAGACCTAGGGGTCAACGGTTTAAACTGGGCCACCGGGTCAAGATGGGTCACCGGGTAAAGCTGGGTCAGTGGGTCACCGGGTCAAGCTGTGCCACAGGGTCAAACTGGGTCACTGGGTCAAGCTGGGTCACCGGGTCAAGCTGGGTCAAACTGGGTCACCGGGTCAAGCTGGGTCACCGGGTCACTGGTCAGTAAACTAACTGGGTCACCGGGTCACTCTATGCTTGACCCAGTCCAACTCTTCTGCCAATACGCATTGAGTAATAAATATTATTCCCGCACTCTATGCGGTATTTGTACATTTCCATTTAGCATTTTTTTTTATAGCATGAAGAATGAACTAATTAAGAAATTAAAATTAAGGGCAAATATCTTTAAAACAACATTTGGATTTTGACGAAGGTTATGATTGAGGGATATGAAGACTTGGAGTTTTTTTGAAGAAATTCAAAAATAGCAAATACTGCGCTTGTATTTTTAATTCGTGGACTTTTGCACAATTGGAAAATTCCGCTTGGATACTTCATTTCAGCTGGATTCGTTAAAGGCATAGAATTAAAGAGCACAATTGAAAATGTAGTGAAGACGTTGAGGCAAATCTCTTTAAAGCCTGTATTATTAGTTTGTGACCAGGGCGCTAATAAACGATCAGTATTCAACTTACTTGGAGCTTCTGCGGATTCTCCAGAAATAATTATTGATGATGAGACTTTATTAACATGCTTTGACGCACCGCATTTAATATAGCTTAAGGAATAACTTCATGAATTGTAAATTACAATTCATTGTAAATAAAGAACATGTTGCATGGACGGACCTTATAGATACATATAAAATTGATTCGAAAAGTAAAACGACTCGAAGTACCTATGTACAAAATTACGCAAGAACACCTCAACCCCAACAGCTTTCAGAAAATGCGAGTGAAATTTTTTCTCACACTGTAGCTGCAGCTATAAAATCGGCACAAGAATTAGGTCAACTGAAAAGTACGACATCTTTCGCTACAGCAACATTTATCGAAAATATAAACAAAATTTTCGATGCATTAAATAGCCGCGTCTTAAGAGACGCAAATCCTTATAAACGCCCCTTGTCCATTTATAATTCTAAAACTGAAGATGTTCTCGAAGCCGGTTTAGTGTTATTTGAAAACATAGAAGTGTATGAAAATAATCGACAAAGAAAAAACATTTACTGTCTGAAAGGTTTTCAATGTACAATAAAAGCCATTCTGCTACTGTGGAATAAATTGAAAAAGGAGCAAGTGAAGTATTTACTAACCAACTTCACTAATCAAGACCCTCTTGAAAATTTTTTTTCCGTCGTGAGGAATTGCTCTGGCTACAATCCAAATCCCACAATCCGTCAATTTAGAATAAGTATGGAAAGGATAATTTCAATAAGATTGAAATCAAATTTAGGTAATTCCAATTGTGAAATTGATGATTCGGAACACTTGGACTTAGATGTAGATATACCAATGGCAAATAACGAATCAAATAGTGAGATGTCTGGTAATATTAGCTTTTTAAGGCAAGTTTCTGAGTTGAATAAAAGTTCAAACATTGAAAATAGCGAGAAAGTAATACAAAACAAGGAAAATATTGGACCCATTCCCGAAAAGCCAACCCTTGAATTGTCCTCTAACATTTATGTAGCGGGATATTTAGCCCATACGCTTTTAAAACATCATGATTGTGAAATTTGTAAACCAATTATTTTAAAATCAGACAATGCTAGTATTAATAAAAGTGAATATTTTTGCTTCAAAAGGACTACGGTGGTGACAAATCTATTCATTTCTTCCCACCAAAAAACAAGAAAAGAGTCAATTTTAACGAACAAATGAATTTACCTTATTTAGTGATTTAAATAAAAAAATTTAGCTTTCGGCTAATTGTTACATGTGTGAATTTAAATTTTATTTTTTCTCTAATGTTTCTATTCTTAAAATTAAATTTAGCTTCTGATCAGTAAACAATTTATAATTTTGACTTATTCGTATCAGCGCGAATACTATCTAAAATCGTTGCTAAAATTAAATCCGCACTCCCAAATATTAATTACTTGATGTGCAGCCTGCACAGATATAACTTATAATGGACAAAGAAATTTAAAAGCATCAAATATCAGTCAACGCTATTGCTCTGCCACATTATATCTGCCTTTGATTTGAATTTAAAGATTTAAACGTTAATTGAGGAGGTTCCCAATCGAGGCGTACCTGAGCTAAATGGCGCCCCTCCCCCCTCCCTCGTCCGCCATCTATCAATTGCAATTCAGAAATGCTTATGGGAGTTATCAGCAATTTATAGGTGGTTTGATGCCGCGGGAAAATTTATGGCACTGGAAAAATGCGAAAGACTTCGGATTGACGTATTAAACACTATGGTCTATGAGTAATTAAAAATGTATTCTATTTATGTTTGACCCATGTCAAAAATAAACAAAAATAATTCAACGTACTCGTAATCGGCCTTCTTGGACGCGACAATTTTCTAATTTGTCTAATTTTTATTTTACTAATAGTTTATTTAACAGTTAACAATTTTTCACACAAATTTGATGTAAACTTTGCATTCAAGTTTATGCAAAGTTTATATTACAAATAGTCTTAGATTTACGCAGTTTTAGGCAAATGTTAGCAAAATTTTTTATAAAATTTGCATAAATTTTGCATCAGGTTGGTTGTATGTTGTATAACCGTTTACCTTCTTGTTTCCAATCTCTAAATGAACAACTTTTTTCCAAGAAACTTAAAACTTTTTTACGCGAAAATCCAATATATAACATCCAAGAGTTTTTAGATAACAACCTCAAGACTTTAACGCTTTAAGTTATTTTTTGTTGTTTGTATTTTTTTTTATTTTAATTATTTTATTCCTAAATGATTTTTCATGTTATTTAATAGTGTTCTATATGTTTCATGCATTTTATGTTTATGTGTTATATGATTCGACGGACGAGTGTAAGCATTTCTTAAATGTATTAACACAATAATTTACTTATTTACTATTTACTATCAGAGAATACGATTATTTCGAACCATCAGCCGTAATTTTGAGTTGTTTTGAATTTTTCGGAATTTTTTTACAGGAGTGCCAACACTCAACCGCAGGCTCTCTCGTCTTTTCCGCCTTCTGGAGTTTGGCGCCCCTCTGCGTAGGCGCCCAGGGCACGTGCCCTGTCTGCCCCACCTTAGATACGCCACTGCAATGGACAAAAGAAATTGATTTTCAATTATCTAGTCCTAGGTAAATACGCATTCTCTTGCGGTGTCACATACATGCAATATTATTACGGTAAGTTAGGTAGGTTGATATAAATAGGAATTAAATGAATGAAGTCTCTAAAATGCTAAGGAAGTGCACAATGAACACACAATATCTATTTTTAATTTTATCAGATACAAAATAATGTGTAGTTACGGACGGCGTATTGCGTGGCAGCACTCACTCATTCCGTAGTTTGTGGACAGAGGGGTGTATAAAAACGTTTAGAGCGAGAATAATGTGAGATATCGCTATGGAACGACAATTTACATTACGGTTGCGCCTCTTCCCTAATCCTTCACTCAACGGTAAAACGTCAAACTTCTAGAAAGTAAGGGGTATTTAACATTTTTAATTGCAGAGCTAGCCGTGGATAAACTGTGAATGGAAAATCATTACCAGTGCCGTATTTAATGCAAATAAGGGTCTTCAACCTTTCTAAATGTCACTAAGCCGTTACAAGGTCTACCACAATTAATAACAATTTGCTGCTGTGTGATGTAGATGTAACACACCTAATACAAGTAGGCGGCTCTGATTTTGGGATGACAGTTCGAATTATGTAAAACCTGTAAAACGTATATAAACACGCGTTTTCCGTTCTCGGGAAGCGCTTGCTCTGGTATATGCAGTCAAGAAGTTTCATAAATATATCTACGGAAGACACTTCGAGCTCCAGACGGACCATAAGCCGTTGATCAGCATTTTCGGCCGCAAGACGGGCATCCCAGTTCACACAGCGAATCGCCTGCGACGCTACGCTCTTACGCTTCTGGGGTATGACTTCAGCATCAAATACATCGGAAACGCCAATTTTGTATACGCTGATTTCGTGTCTCGACTCATCAGCTCTCACGCCAAACCGGGTGTCGAGGATGTCGTTATCGCGGAGATTCGATGCGCTATGGAAGACGAAGGCGTCGACAAGACTGAAGTAGAGGTTTCGGTTACGTTGTCGGTTCCAATCAATGTCGAGGACCTTCAGAAGGAAACTGCAGCATGCCGACACCTCCAAAGAGTCAGAACTTATATCGAAGCTGCGTGGCCGCAACGGAAAAGACAAATCTCCGATGATAAGGCAGCGGAATTCTTCATTCACCGGGACCGACTGAGGATAATCAACGGTTGCATCTTTCTCGACGAAAGACCTGTCATTCCTACGAGTCAACAGCAGAAGATACTTGAAGAACTTCACATTGGGCATCCGGGTGCAACACGCATGCAATCACTAGCTCGCGAGAAGTGTTTCTGACCCGGAATCAACGATCAAATCACAACATTCGTCAAGCGATGTAAGCAGTGTGCTGAAAACGCAAAATCGCCTATTAAAGAAGTTTTACACCCATGGCCGAAACCTGAAGCACCGTGGCAACGATTGCACATCGATTTTGCAGGTCCAATGGAAGGTGACTACTTCCTTGTCGTAGTGGATGCTTTTAGCAGTTGGCCGGAGGTCATTCGGATGCGTTCAACCACGGCGGAGAAAACGGTCAAGGCAATGGCTGAAATATTCGCTCACTGGGGTCCTTGCAAAACGATCGTTTCGGACAACGGACCACAATTCATACCAGAAACTTTTAAAAAATTTTGTATGGCGGAAGGCATTCAGCACATCACCTCAGCTGCTTATCATCCACAGTCGAACGGAAGGGCGGAAAAGTTCGTTGACACTCTCAAGACGGCTTTGCGAAAACTTGAAGGGACGGATGGTGGCATCGACTCTCATCTTAGGATCTTCCTGAGCAGCTATCGCCGAACTCCATCTAATGCGTTCAACAATAAATCACCGTTTGAACTCATGACGGGACGCAAAATGCCTTCGAAATTCGATCTTTTGCTCGAACGGTCAGACGGAAAAGGTGATCCTAATGTAAAGATGGCTCAACAGTTCAACAGACACCACGGAGCGAAAGCACGAACATTCGGCATCGGAGAGACAGTTTACTATCAGATGCACCATGGCAATGACTGGATGTGGCATCCAGGAGTTATCCTAAAGCAACTGGGAGAAACAAATTTCCTAATCAACGTGAAGGACCGAATCATTAAGGCGCACAAGAATCAACTGCAACGACGAGTGTCACCAATTCATCAGGACAATGAAACCGATCATTACGACTACTTTGATTGTAATTCCTATTCGTGTCAGAACAATCAGATCCTTGAAAGCCCTCTTCCACAAGATGATCCAAACGAAAGCCGCATGACAAGCTCATTCGACGATGCCGATGGAGAATTCTCAGAAGAAGAAGTACAAATTCAGCCATACGTCAACGATCGCCCACATCGCACTACAGCAGGAAAACTGCCCGAAAAATACAAAGACTTCGTGATGGCAGTCCTGGCCAAGCATGCATAACCTGGAGTCCTGGACATTTCATCTTAGCGGGGAGGAGTGATGTAGATGTAACACACCTAATACAAGTAGGCGGCTCTGATTTTGGGATGACAGTTCGAATTATGTAAAACGTATATAAACACGCGTTTTCCGTTCTCTTAAATAATAAAGTATTCTAATAAACTGTAATTACTCTTGGTTTGTTCTACGAATACTTCACTGTGGCACAGATATCACCCGCATACCTACGCGTGCGGATTCCGCCCTATTATGTATAAGAATATATGTACCAAATTTGGTTTAAACACTTTTTTTTTGTAAAGGCTAACCCCGACCAACAAATTTTGAATAGCACAACTAAAAACAGTTCAATTAATAATATAATTGCATAACTGGCAATTAAAACACAGTTTGGAATAGCTCCAATATGGCGGACAAATCCGCTATCGTTCATAGTAGCTACAGTTACTCCTTACCTGCACATTCTTTGTCTGCAGCAAGTAAAGTCCATAACGGTAACGGTGGAATGTTTGTAATTTCGGCATAATCCAAAGTGATTTCACTTATACTGGTGCGATGTTCGGGACTACCAGCCGGATAGCTAACAGAAAGAGTACGGGCTCTGGCCCACCCCTGCATCTCTTCCGAATTATCTTGATTACCTCCGATACATTTGACCAAGTGAGTTAAAATCGCTTTCACCCACCGTATTTTGCCCGAGTTTAGTAATTCCATTAACTGCTTCGGATGGTATTGGGGTAAGACCGGGCATGCGATTCTGGACGCCTCGAATAGACCGTAATCGGGCATGTAATCGGGATTGGAGTCTTTTGTCGTACGCTTTCTGTCTAAAATTTGCAAATTAACAGAGCTTATTCTACCTAATGTCGGAATGGCGGCCAGTTTGCGCTGATTCTCCTGAGTTAAAGTACGTATGTCGAGATCTCGGAGAGTTTTCCCGTCATTTTCCATGGTGTCCACCGCGCGAACTGGGACAGAATTGGGTCGCCATTGAGTGTAGACGTGCATCTCGGAGTCCATCCCGACTATCAGTAACCCATCGCGCACCCAACTTATCTGCATGGGAAGAGCCGGTAATCCGTCGGCTGTTTGTAATTCAATCTTTCGCAAAGTCATCCATTTGAAATCGTCAACAAATAATGGCTGCGCCAAAGAACTGGCTTTGCGCAAAATCGGCCTGTTAGTATTCATAGATTCCTTCATGGCTTTAACATTTGCTTGGGCTAAATCCGAAGACAGCGGAGTGTAAAGCATGATTTTGTTTCCACAAGCGACCGTCAAAATATGTGAGCCATCCTCGTTCGAAACCCAGTCGAGTTGCACAATATGCTTCTGTGTTATTGGGCATATATTGCCAATTTCCGAAATCGATTTGCGCAAAGTCTGTAAAGTACTAAAGCTGGGTACGGCGAGAAGTGTGGGCTTAATGTTATTCTCTCCATTTGCGAGTTGCCTTTCGTCATTGGAAAACGTGTGAAGAACTTCGTTTATCCGTTGCTTTCTGCGCAACGTTTTTGAGTCGTAAAGGTAGCTCAAATCTAAATGTCTGTCAATCGTAATTCTTGGCAGGTGAATGTTTTTTAGGTGAATTACATCTTCCAATACCCATTCGGTACCACCCGTGGATTCACATTCGTAAATTGCAACACACAAATTGATGTATCTGGAATGAGTGTGAAATGAGTTTTCATGGCGTTCTTAACACAAAGCAGTCATTTCACAAATTTGTTTAAGGCGATTTTAATATTTATTATATTTCGGCATCCCGTCCAAAGAAGTTATTTATTTAACAACGTAGTCCGCCTTTAGGTGCTTAATTCCACAATTTTTAAAAGAGCAAACGAGCGCATGCTCCGTTGGATCCGCCGCGCTAGGAGAGGTAGGGTGGAAAATCAAAGGTTAGCAAGAGGAAGAAGAAGCTCCGGCCGCCTAGCAGCGATTCGGATGATTCTAGCTCTCATAGAGAGTGGATTAATCGCATAGAAAAACTTTATAATAAACACGTTCGCAATAAAAGGTCTCGATCGCGTTCCCGTGCGAGACGCAGAGACTGGAAGCGAACATCTTCGCTATCGCCTTCGAGAGGGACTCCGCAGTTTCGCGAGCCTCCTCAGTCACCCGGTTTTAGATCCTCTAGGTCCAGCAGCAGATATTCACGGTCATAGTTTGAAACCGATAGGCGAAGTGTAATAAGCGTAAGCGGTAACCCGCGCGGCGCCGCTGAAACAGCAGTATGTGACACTCACATTCCGTGCGATGTGAGTCACTCTGAAAAACAATCGCCAATTAGTTCGTCGTTTTCTCTACATTCAGCCTTGAGCGCACGCTGGTCGCACATTTTATCGAAAGGGCTGTCCGAGATCGACGTCGCCTCTCTTTTGGATAAGTGCAAAAAACCATCGAACTGCCCGTTACTAACACCCCCAGTAATCAATCCAGAAATTAAGGCTTTATTACCGCACAATATGCTGAAAAAAGACGCCACTTAGGTACGTTTCTTTTCAAACGAAATTATCCGCTGGAATAATAGGTTTGGGAAAAGGCATAGATAAATTACTGAACGATTCGGCTAACCATCAAGATCTTCACACCTCTTCATTACTGCCTTTGCTGTCAGACGCCGGGAAAATTCTAAATGGTCTTTTTTTCGATTTATCGATGGCCCGGCGCAGCTTTATTTTTCCCTACCTCAATAAAAATACCAAGGACATTCTCGAACCATGCCCACCTTCCGAATTTCTCTTTGGATCGGATCTTTGCGAGAAAGTCAAAGCAGCTAAATCCTTACAAAACGCCTGTCAGGACCTTAAGACTGCACCAACCCCTCAACGCTACAAAACCACTAATCAGAGTGTTAGCTATAAGGGTAAGAAAATGGAAGAGGAGAAACAGAGACAACAGCCCTACAACAGGCAGTTAAACAGATATCGCCCGACCCACCGCAAAGGGGTGGAGTCACGCAAAGGGCATATCCCGAAGGCTCGATAGAGGGACAATTACCGGAGGAAAAACTAAATTCGGTAAGTTATAATCCTTTCGCAGGTAGACTTGCCCTTTTTCGAAAAGAGTGGGAATCAATAACGGGAAACGCAACTATTCTTGATCGGATTTTGGGCTACAAGCTACCACTTTCCAAAACTCCCGTGCAAACTTATCTCCCACAGGAGAGAACACTCCCCAAAAAAGACCACGATTCTATGCAAGTGGAAATTCTTAAACTCCTGCAAAGAGGGGCGGTTAAAGCGATTTAACAGCTTTATAGACGTTCCTCACTTCAAAATGGAGGACGCGAGAACGGTGCGTAAGTTGATCCAGAAAGATTTCTTTTTATCCACTATTGACCTGAAAGATGCATACTTCCTCGTAGCCATCGCTCCGGAAGACCGCAAGTTTCTTCGGTTCTCCTTTAACAACACTCTATACGAGTTCACTTGCCTTCCTTTTGGACTGGCTTCGGCTCCTCATGCTTTTACTAAAGTTATGAGGCCAGTCGTGCAAGAACTTAGAGCCAACGGCATCTCTTGCATTAACTATTTAGATGATTTCTTAATTTTAGGGGAAAACCGTGAAGACTGTCGCACGAAAACCTCTTCGACCATTAAGCTACTAGTAAGGCTAGGATTTGTAATAAACTGGGAAAAAACAAAACTAGAACCATCTAAGACGTGCACCTTTTTGGGGTTTGTTTTCCATTCAGACACTCTAAAAATTTCACCGAAAAAAGGAACAAAATAGTACAACTGATTAGATATTTTCGAAATAAAAAACTTTGTAAAATTCGTGATTTTGCAAGTTTTATCAGACTCTTAGTTTCAGTATGCCCAGCTGTGAAGTACGACTGGGTATACACAAAGCTCTTCGAAGCATATAAGCCAAAGGCTTTGAGAGAGAATAACATGGACTTTAATGCATCCATGCCCGTTCCGGAGTCCTCAGATTTTGATTGGTGGGAGAAAAATATGTACGGGGTCAATAATGACCTCACTCGGGAATCCTTTGATTTCGAGATTTTCTCGGACGCATCGTCCACAGGTTAGGGGGCATGTTGTAAGAACAAAAGGGCGCGGGGATCGTGGTCGGCAAACGAACAATTACACCATATTAATTTTCTGGAACTCCAGGCCATCCTCCTAGGGCTAAAATGTTTCGCTAGAAGTTTAAGGAATCGTGCTGTAATTGTCAGATGCGACAATACCACCGCAATCGCATGTGTGAATCGCATGGGCAGTGTGCAGCACGAACACTTGAACAAACTAGCGAGGGAGATCTGGCAATGGTGCGAGGAGCGAAATATCTGGATATTCGCTTCCTATATTAACACCAAGGATAATTGGGAGGCAGATGCCGAATGTCGCGCTCTTCGCCCAGAAACAGAATGGTCCTTAGCGGACTCGGTCTTTGAGAAAATTAAAAGCAAACTGGGAATACCGGATATTGATTTGTTCGCCTCGATAGCTAATCGCAAATGCATAAGGTATGTCTCTTGGCAATCGGATCCAGAGGCAGTAGCGTGCGACGCCTTTACTCTATCCTGGAGTAACTTAAATTTCTACGCTTTTCCCCCTTTTTCAATCATCCTAAGAGTATTACAAAAAATTAACACAGACGACGCTAGGGGTATCGTGGTAGTACCATACTGGCCTTCACAACCTTGGTTCCCACTCTTTGTGAAACTGGCAATAGACAAACCTCTTTATTTCGGATCGGACGTTAATATGCTTTTATCCCCTTACAGCCAGGAAGCCCACCCGCTTGCATCCAAACTTACCCTGGTAGCATGTCGGTTATCCGGAAAGCACTAACACTACAGGGTGTGCCGGTAAACGCCATCGATACTTGTCTAAACTCTCTTTCGGAAGCTACTATCGCACAATATGGAAGTACATTCAGAAATTGGTGGAATTTCCGCGAAACTTCAGGAAACGACGTTTTTCAGGCATCAGCCCAAGAAGTGATTTCTTTTCTACAACACATCATTACCACAACAAAATGTGCTTTCGGAACAATCAACTCGTACAGGGTCATTAATTCTACCAGGAAATCTAGGTGAGGATCAAATGCTCAAGAGATTTATGAAGGGGGTGGCAAGGTTAAGGCCACCAAAACCTAGATATAACTGCGTTTGGGAACCTAGGCAAATTTTTAATTACTTTGAAACACATCCAGCGGAATCTCTAAAAGCTTTGTCCATGCCCTCCTCACATTAGCAACAGGACAAAGGTTGCAAACCCTCTCCCTTATCAAAATATCAAACATCTTAACTTCTGAGAATTTAATTCAAATTGTAGTTCCAGACAGGATCAAAACCTCCAAGGTAAGCGGACGTCAACCTTGTTTAATTCTTCCCAGATTCAACGATCTTCCTCATCTCTGCGTTTTCTCCTGCCTACAGAGGTACTTACAGGAAACTGAGAAATTAAGACAAGGCCAAGAAAATCTGTTTTTAACCTACCAAAGGCCCTATAGAACCGCTTCAAAACAAACCCTGAGTAGATGGGTGAAGTGCACGCTGCAGTTAGCGGGCGTTGATACAAGCATCTTCAAACCCCACTCGAGTAGGCACGCGTCAACATCAGCTGCAAAAAGAGCAGGGGTTTCTATAGATGTCATTAAGGACTCGGCGGGTTGGAGCAGGAGCTCCAACGTTTTCGCTGAATTCTACAACCGCCCTCTTATAGATAGAAGCGAGTTCGCTCATAGTATTTTCAATATGTAAAAGCAATACAGTTACTATTAGTCTTAGTTTTGTCTTCCTCATTAAAGATGATTTTACTTCGGGAAATGTACGTAATTCAAACTGAAGTAGTTATCTTTAAACATCCTACGTTGTTAAATAAATAACATCTTTGGACGGGATGCCTCATATAATTCCGATCGAACTTCAGGTAAGTTCATTTGATCGTAGAATTATGTAATGCAACGACTGCTTTATATTTAGGACTTCCATACCTAGAATCGTGATCGCTCTTGTTGGGCCGCGTAAAACTTTTACCATATTTATATGCGCAAGCTAATCGTCCTGAATACGCAACACTAATATTCAATAACTGACCATCAATTTCGATGGCAGATTCCTTAACCATCTTCCATTCAGTCCACACTTTCCCCGTATCGATTACTTCACCGTCCTCGTCGAGTAATAAATGCTGGGACGACCGTACAATCGGTGAATCGTAACAAACGGTCCAAAAGCGAATAGTTCCGTCATTGCACGCCGTCGCGAAACAATACGGGGCGAGGCAGGCGGGATAAATTGACGCGGAACTCAAATGGCCGGCGGCAGGTGCGGCGTGCACGATTTCGACCCCATCAGGAAGGGGCAAAATTTGTTTTATTTCCTTACTCGTTGTAATACTGACGTGAGGACTTATTTTCGCCTGTTTTAAATGTAGCGACTCTAAACTGTTGCGTCTGGAAAGGTCGTTTTCGTCTTGCACCAAATTGCAATCCGGAACGTACATCTGGCTACCAGTTAAAGAAAATTCCGATTCGTTAGACGCTATTATCATTTTCCACATATGTATTATTGTATGTTGATCGGTGCAATCCAAAAGGACAATGTAAAATGGTTGCTCGAAAACAAAATTTTGTTGCAAATCGACCATTGCGTCATTTTGGTTTAAATTTATTGGGGAGGTATGCTGGCCTTTTATTAGCTGTTCTTGATACACATGCAAAAACGTTGTGTTCTGCCACTTAATCGCCTCTGAAATAGTTTCCAGTTGAATTATACAACCCGGTCTAGCTGTGCTTTGCTGCGAAACAATGTTAATTTTCTCTAGAAGACTCGGTTCGTTCAGCGACGATAAATCCGAGGTTAGACTTTCGGTCGAATCTCTCAATCGATTCTCTTTAGAAGAAATATCGGCTAGTAAAGTACGCGCATCTATAACCGCCTGATAGACTCTCAGGTAGTGCCCGTCGGAAGCTACAAAGCAGGCACTAGGCGAATTGGACAAGTTTCCCAATGTGCTAGACGGTAGCAAGGTCGGAATCCACGCAACTACACTAAACGCAGATGGTTCAGACGAACTTATCCGTGCCAACTCGCATATACCGCCCGATTTTGATAAAGGACCAACGGCATCAACTCTCCATAAAATAAGCTCGCTGCAATATCCCTGAAACGTTCAGTCAGAAATGTCGCAGAGAGAAGTGAATCACTTACAGTGCTATTTTGATCCTTATCAACGATATTGTGATGGCTAGTCGTTAACAATAAAGGCAGTACAGGATGGCACGTAATGTCGTTAACACGGTACCTATGACCTGATGCCCGACTTCTATGCCCAATACTAAGCACTTGGCTAAATTTGCTTTTATCGGCAAATGTGAGTTGCCACAAATTTAACGTGCCGTTGTCGTGTTTTGTCACACAAAATATGATTGGGTATGCATCTTTTGGATCTTCAGCGCATGTTAGAATCTATTTTTGAAATATAATAACGTATAATCGGCGCATTTGGACAGACAAAGTCTGCAGATACATAGCATAAAAATATTTAAGAGTGCAGAAGTCTCATTGTCTTTTCAGAGACGAAATGGCCTCGTTTTTTCTTGCTTTGACAACAATGGTGAATTTTACGTGGTTACTGTAACGCCACTGCCTAAATCAAAAACTGGAAAAAGAGACAAATGCACCGAGCTATCTCGACGCTGGAAAGTTCTAAATTATCATGAGTATCCCTTATCAGGAAACCCTCGTTACTCCACCAAACCTGAGGGGAGGCACCCTACCAGGTGGCGGATAAGGGAACAGCCTAAGCGTAAGTGACGCATCGGTTAATGCTATGAATGAAGATGCTCGTCACATATGAAACCATGTAGATATACTCTGCATGAACCGAACTCAGGATGGTGCGGCAACCTCACCAAATAATCTAAATCCTAAGAGTCAGGGGGCAACTACTGGCCTCACCCTCGGAAAACCGGGCGCCAGTCAGTTGTACTAAGTCGCCTACTTACACGGGTGCATGTGTAGACATTTCTTTCCTCCATACTCGTGTGACTCACATGAACCAAGAAGAAAAACAAACACAAGTAAAAAGTTTTTCGCCCTAAGGCGAGTAACTTCGCCGAATTATCCATGAATGATCGGTACTTCCCAAAAGGCCATAGCTATGTGCGCTGTGATTTTCTTAACTAGAGGCATATATGGTTCAAAGAAATATCTCCATAAACAAAAAAGGTGGCGTTGCGCAGTTCGCGCATGAGCACATTTAATTTTTACTATGTGCGATATGTTTGATTTTCCTAATGACATTTGTAGTTTTCGATTTTTACTACATGTGATATGTTTTTCTTTACTAGAAGCATCTATGGTTAAAATTTTAAAGAAATATTTTGATAAATAAAGAAGTTGGCATGCGCACATCTAATTTTTGCAATATCAGTTATGTTTGCCTTTAACAGAAGCATCTGTGATTAAAATTTGAAAAAGATATCTCGATAAATAACAGTTGATATTGCGCATTCGTTGGAAAATGCGCTAAAAAATACACAAAAATTACACCTGGAGCACCTGGTACTGAAGAGCCTAAAAAACACTCAGGAGAGCGCGCCAGAAGCTAAAAAAGATTAGGTAGGAACCAGAGAGATCTAGGCATCCTGACCTCTCATCAGCTGCAGTGGACCAATATGGGAGCTTTAAGTAGCTAGGCAACGCACCTGCCAAGGCTGTACTAAAAACACAGAATAAGACCTTCACAGAACAGAAACATAAATGGCGCTAAATTGTCACTGATTACAGCGTTTCCCGTGGTTGTACGGAGAACTATTTATCGCAGACTCAAATATTTTTTTGCAAAACCTGTAATTTTGCTCGTTACAGGAAATATTTTTACCGTCGATTTTATACGTACACAGGTTTTCCACATGTCAATTTTGACTTTTGAAAGATTTAAACTAAGAACAAGTTATGTGACCGTAAAAAGGGTTGTGTTTTGAAACATTGTTTTGTGCTTGAAACGAGAGGGTTGAAATGTGCTGTTATTTCTCTCCTATGGAATTTATAAATTATTATTATTAATTATAAATTATCAACAGTTTACCTATACCTGCAAAAGGGTGTAGACTTGAGTTTTATATTTATATAGACGTAGATACTTATATTGTAATTGCTTTTAGACAATGAATAAAAAATACCTTTTAGATAATTCAACAACTTCCACCCTCGCTTCTCAAGTAACAAGTAAGCACCAGGATCAAGTTAACATTTATTGTCAAAAACTTGTGTGACAATTTGCTGAAACGGTTTTATTACCTCTTGGAACAAAAAATTTAGTTCTAAAGATATTTTTTAACAAAAATATGTACTTAGTCCAAACAGCAATTAAAACCAAATATTTCGTACGACAAATCGTTATGTAAGGATCTTCTGCAAAGTGTTAACATCTACAAACCGTAAGTTCCACTGACTTCTGAGTTTTATATTATGTAACTTGTAAACATGTAATTGAAGTTCTCTGTGTTAAATAATGTAATGTGATTGTATCTAAATACACTTTAATTTAACAACTGTGTATTCTTTATCGATATTTATGATTTATATCGAATTTGGGAAATTACTTCATGACTTTAGAAGCTTGTCACCAGATGGCGCTGCTCTGATTTTGATGCTTTAGTTCACAGTACACCCACCAGGCTCCGCCAAAATACCATACAAATTTGTAACATTGCTGTTTCTATTCTGACTGAGACGAAAAAGTGACACCTTCCTGATGGAAGCACTCACAAGGGTAAGTAGGTGGTAGGTAAAAACTGTAAGATACCAGCACGTTTAGCGAAGCAGATACAGGATTCAGAATGGCTTTTGTCCATGAGTACCTAAAGGGAACGCTATCGGAAGAGGAGACAGGACGAATCCTTGATAGATGACGCTTTTGTCCATTGGGGCCGTTTCGCCCAAATTCACGGAATGTCGCCACCGAGAAGCACTGTTAATTACATGCGGAGACCAGGTATCGGTGGACTGGGTAAGGTCGGAGCTAGCAAGAGTAGCTCCTTCGGGCTCAAGTAGAATGGAAGATCTTAAAAAAGATCGAAATCCAAAATGCCGGAGTTACAACCAGCAATGGGCGTGTGGAAGAAGGATCCCAAGGGACAAACTTTGATAGTCCTTATGGACCTTATTGATTTTGTCAGTATTTATTTATTCCATAACAAAAACAAAACAAAATAAATTTACAATAAGGAGGGGCGTATACCTATATTTGTATGGAGTTGGTGGTAGGTCGAACTCGATCAACTGGAACGGGCGATGGCCGCCTTACCTTAATCGGTAACCACCGCGCATGCGCATGGGGGTCGCGCGATTTAATAGGTTGCGCGACGGCTGGCGAGCGCACGCGATGTTTCGCGGCGCCCCTTTTGCAAGCGAGCGATTTGATTGGATGGCGAGCGCGTGATTTGATTGGGGTACGGCGGGTGGGAAGCGCGACGCCACACATCATCAATCCTATGTGACTTTACCAGGATAAATCGGTTAGAGTTAGACTTAGACCCATCAGTCTAACATTGTTTCTCGTAAAACTAACGGACAAACTTATTAAGCAACACATAAGCCATAAGTAAACAGAAATGTGCCTATCAACCTGGAAAATCCTATGAACTTGCTATCTACAGAGTAGTGGATGTAGCTGAAACGCCGATCTCCTGTAACGGATTTTAACAATATGGGATGTGCTTATTTTTACTGCAAGCATCTAGTCAAAATTTCAAAAAAAATATCTCCGTACTGTAACGCACCGGTTACTATTAGGACCCGTGTGGCGAGTTGTATATTAGTAGTTTCTAAGTTAAGTATAAGTAGAATAGTTAGATTAAACTTGTGGACACCCTGTTACCATTTATAAGATAATACGCCTCCGCATGTAAGGGCCCATGGACTTTCTGCCACATGTGCAACCGATTGGGTTTCCGGGCCATTGTGAATTATTACGGTCAACGGTGATACCATGTGTGGCGGCAAGATCCAAGATGCGATAATTTTTCCCTTGGTGAACCAGGAGGAAACAGAAGGAGTTCGCTAGTAGCCGTCTTCGGCAGCGCACGTCAAAAACCGCGGCAGAATACAGCGGTTTCTGGTTAATTGGCGAGAGTGCGTGATTTTGGCGACGTTTCGTTTTTTTGCCTGCCGCGAATTAAAGTACGCGTGTTGTAGCATCGAAACGAGTGGTTTTGCGACACTGCGGGTGAAGGTATCTGAGGAGAGGATACCAGAGAACCATCATCGTCAGCTGAACTCCGAAGAAACTGCGATACACGGCGCCGGCATCAGAAAGGTAGGCCTACCTATTTTGTAAATCTGTCAACGGGTCGTTAGTGATTTCGTTCTGACATTGCGGCGGTAGACAGTTCTTGCGTCTGTTTGTCATTAAGAGCATCCACAATTAATGTGTACTTATTGTAGCGTTAGGATATATTAGTAGTGATATAAATGTTAGTCGAATTAGAGTTGTTCTTAAGTATTACCCATTAGCCCACTGGTCCTGAGAAAGAGGGATATCCGCTCATGCAGAGCTAGTACTCCGGTGCATTACGGTAGGTACTTTACCACCCAAATAATTAGAGTCGGTTAAAAAAGCGACACCAATGCAGGGTGTTGCAGTATGTAAAAAAGTTGACATGGCGCGCATATTAATTGTCAAGATTTTTCTTGCTTGAGATGTAAAGCATCAGACGGACGGACCGATGGACGGATAAAGTGACCATAATAGTGCCTTCCAACATGAGTTGGAAAATGCGCTAAAAAATGACGGGCTCCCATAACACCAGTGAATGAGCAGAAGTGACTAATGGATTTTCGGTCAGCTTTGTTTTTAAATCTTCCCTGAGGGAGCATTCGAAATAATGGGATTTGATCATCGTCAGCGCAATACCCATTTTATACTATGTATCTGCCATTAGACCTAATAGGCGATCATACCTCACTAGTTTCTACATATTCGTCCTCTTCACGAACACAGGGTAGTCCACCATTTGTGGGCTCCTTAACCTCTTTATCCTTCACAACTTCCTTAACAAGATGCTTTAAACACGTTGACATACTATACAGACTAACAGTAGTAGACATGCTTAAAGAATCTCCAAGAGGAAAAGCAGAAGGTATTCTTGTTGAAAATGACACTTGCGCCTGACGAAATGAGCCGGGGTGGTATTCATCGAGCCATTCAACAACCCTGCACAAAATTAACGGACGTTACCGAGCAAACTTGCGAATATACATCAACAAACCATATCAGAAAACTTCCATCAACGGGATGTATACTGAACAACAGATCGGGATTGTGATGCCAATCACGTAGAAGTGCCTCTATACGAGCATCCAATCCGTCTGCTCCTCCAGTTTCCATCAGGGGCTCTTCTTGATTTTCTTCAGTGTCAGGATGTTCCACTACTTTCCTAGGAAAAATATAAACAAATGCGCATTAGTCAGCTCAGAAATTAAGGAACACACCGCCTACCTTGTAAGTTCCTCCAATAGCGACTCAGCTTGAAGACTAAAATGCATTTCTTTATTATTTAACCAATGCAGCACAAATGCCGGACTAGGACTACAATACGATATGCTTGGCACTAATGGTATATCAGTCTCAGCATTCACCGATGCAGCCAAATGGAAATGTAGACCGGGTGTTACACCTGCAAGCCAATAACTCTTTAATGCACAATTGAAATACTACATCTCACCTGTACCCCGATAACCATATGAGTGAAAATCGTGCACACTGTAAGTGGAAGGTAAAGTCGGAATTGGAGTTGACGCATTCCCGAAACCGTGGGTGTACTGTTTCGCATGGCGACGTATATGGAAGCACGTCCTTTAAGAAGTAACGTTACATTTTAGTTTTGCTAGCAGCCCGCAAACTTACTTCATGTGTTTTAAACGTTGCATAAATCGATGCTTGTGTCGATGAGTTCTGAATTTCGGATGATGAGCTTGGGGATCCAGCTGTGACAGGTTAACTAAACCATCTTCGGGTAATACGGTTTCCACCCAAAGTCGGCATATGTTATCCTTGCACGAGGTCACCAACATGTTAGACACAGAACCTCTACAAAATGGGCTTCTTTATTAACATTTTTACTATTACTTTTGTTTGTGTTTATTACTAACTACCGGACCTGGTGAACTTCGTACAGTTCCGCCTCACCTCCCTCAAATATCCCGCCCCCAGATAGGTCACAAGCTCGGTTTCGGAGCTTAAACTGGGCACTTTTCGTCAACAGAACACAGAATCTGAACTTAGATGCAAAAAAATTCGTTGAAAAAGTGGTGAGATCTTAAGAATAGATTGGGAAATAGAATATCTTTTCCACAAAAATTTGATTTCTGTGTTCTGCTGACAAAAATGGTTTTTTAATGTTTTTTTTCATTTTTTTGTTTTTAGTATTTCATATTCTGTCACATGGCATTGGTTTGCGCACGCACAGTAACAAAAGTTCGTGACTGACACACAAACAAAAAAAAGCAATAATAGGCCAGTCAAATTAGGAAAAATAGCGGAAATAATTGAAAGAAAGCTGAAAATTGGTATAGAGGTACATTCGGCTTGTATTCGAACATACTAAAAGCCGAACCAAAACTCCAATGGCTCGAGTCGCCATCTTGGAAAAAAGGTGCTCCAAATCACTTTTTCGGTGATATCTCGGTAACCGTGCATTCTAGCAAGTAAAGTTTTATATGAAAAAAGAAAGATAATAAAATTTTGTATAAAAAAGATGGTACGCACTTTTTTTGTATTTTCGTTATTTACGTCTTTATTCCACATTGAATATAGAGCATAATCTTTTTTCAGATGCAGCTGCATTACTTTCAGCGCTCGCGTGCTTTAAACATATATTTAAAAAATTGACTGACATTGTTAAGGCCTGTTGACCACCTAAAGACCCCCCTTCACGTGCAGTTCTTATCTTCGTTCCCGGATTGGATTCCTGGCGCGCGCTCCCGATGCGTGACATGCGTTGCATCTACACGTTCGCGCTTGATTTTTAATTTATTTCAGTTTTATTCTGTTCCTGAGTCTGGTAGTGCAACAGTGCTGTGAAAGGATGAGTTTGAAGAAGAGGAAAGCAATTGCTTTTTTGTTGCTGGTGGACGACAAAAGGGAAGTAAGAAGAAAGAGAAAAAAGTATTGGTCCAAATCGTGGTATTTGAGAAGAAATGAATCCACACACATCGATTTGTTAATGGAGATAAATCAAACAACCCCTGAAACCCGGGAAACGTAGGACTACCCATTCTAAATTTCATCAATTAAGAAGGAAGTAATACATAATATATTTATTTTTATACTATATAGCCGAATACAAAAGATACCTACATAAGGAAACTAAGAAAAATAAATATTACCAAAATCCGAAGTCGTTTGAACTACTTGTAATGGATATGGGGCATTTACAAAAAAAATATAAATCAAACTTGACTTCATTCCATAAAAAAAAATACTAAAAATAATAAACTAAACTAAACAATTCCATTAACAATTCGCGAAATAGTACATAGCGCTGTTCCAGTATCCACATCTGAACTTTTTTCGTGAAAGCGGTATAGGTAGATAGATATCTTTTTCATTTCACGCGGTAGAATGGAATAAAGCCTTGGAGCAATGTACTGAGCACATCGTTTACCGATTGTTTTTTCAGACCTTGGAAAAAGTATATTATGATCTTCCTGGCGTGTACAATGAGAGTGCATGTTGGGCAGTAATTTTGGATGTTTTTATGAACTGGAGGATTTTGTTACAGTAAAGTTGGCGTAAATTCATTACATTTGATTCCTTATACAGGGTGATGCCTAGCGCAACGTAGCACAGGGATGTCAATGGTAATTTCTTAATAGTCAATTACTAGCTCCCCTAATTATTTAAGAGCAAAAGTCTAAAGAAGTTTTTGTAGAGAAAAAAATACTATTACCAAAGAGTACCCCTCTTTGCTATTACTTATAATTTTCCGTTTTTCAAAATCGTAGAAATCGACAAACTAAAAAATTACATTTGTATAAATCAGTGATGCTAGGGAATCTTTTAACAAACTACAAGCGCATCGCATCTAAGTTATCGTTGTTTGACGTCCAACGATTTTTGTATTTAATTCTGTAATCTTGTACCTACCTACTGCTTGGAATCGGCCAAATGGGTTACTTAACACTAAATACACACGTTACCTGGCGGGCATTCTTTCCAGATAAAACTGCCCTTCTCTTCACTGGTCAACAGGCCCTAAAATGTTAACTAAATCAATTTTTTAAACATATTCATGTTTAAAGCACGCGAGCGCTGAAAGTAATGCACCTACATCTGAAAAAAGAGTATGCTCTATATTCAATGTATCGACGTAAATATCGAAAATACAAAAAAAGTGCATACCATTTTTTTTATAGAAAATTTTATTATCTTTCTTTTTTTATATGAAACTTTACTTGCTGAATGCACGATTACTGAGATATCAGCAAAAAGTGATTTGGAGTACCTTTTTTCCAAGATAGCGGCTCGAGCTCTAGGAGTTTCGGCCCCGACTTTTAGTATATTCGAATACAAGCCCTAATGTACCTCTATACCAATTTTCAGCTTTCTTTCAATTACTTCCGCTATTCGTGGAAATTTGATCTAATTTGACTGTACTAGGAAGCACTGGAACTCCTTGTGGCCGTTGAACTTGCAAAAGTAAAACAAATACAGTGTTTTTAGAGAATGACCCAGTAAAAACAAAAACACTGGTTTTCAAACTAATTTCTTAATAACAATCAATAGAGAGAATACTTCTGTAATCAGTTTCGAATATTTAGAAGAATTATATACATACTTTGGCATATATTTACTGGTTGTCCTCCAGGACAAGTGCGTAACAGCTCTTGGATGTGCGATATAGACAAAGCTATACTCAAGTTCCGTGGGACACTCCGTACTTCGTGATGTGAACAAAACTACAAATTGTAAATAGAATAAAATAAACTAAAAGGAACTTGTGTTCCAACTTACAATGTTTATTTTCGTACCAAATTTTAACCAAACGGTCATTTTCGCCGGAAGTCGCGAAGAGAGTACCATCAGGGCTGAAAGCCAAATGTTGTACAGGTGTTGCTGTGTTCGCCCTCCAAACATTTTGCCAACAAGTCTGGTCTGGATCTAAGATGAGTAATTACATAGAAGTACGAACGCTGAACAGAGGCCACACACGGTTTATTTTTATACTCATACTTTGCATTTGCCCAAATTTAATGTTTAATGCTGATTTCCGAGCTTAAATTCATTGTTTGAAGTGGGAATTCAAAATTTTTACAGAGCGTTCTAAAGTTATTTCGATATAGTCTACTTGTTATACGACCTTTACTAGCAGAAGGAAGTGGAAAACAGTTCCTGCCAATAAACATGGAGTAGTTTTAGTGGGTATGGATCAGAAGGAGAATTACGCACGATAGATCTAAGGCGCTTTGTGCCTCTAAAAGATTTCCACTTCTATACACATTAACAAAACTTCTTATCTACCACCCGAAGATAAACATGAGATAAACTTTTACCAATACTACGCAAGTAATTTAACTTTTAACACATAAATCAAACTTTACAACGAAATAAACCAAAATTAACAACTAATAAACCTGATACAAAACAAAATCGACTTCGCCATTAAATAATATGATCGAAATTGCATTTAATCTACAATAAACAATAAATGAAATTCACATACAGAGTGTTGCATCGTTATTGCAGGTGACAAAGACACATTCAGATGGCACAACAGTAAATAAATAATCAGAAATTCTCTTCCCTCGACCTACGTGTCCTATTCATCCCCATTCCTTTCCACCCCCGCCTTACCATCATCTTCTACCTCGTCCATCTCCTGGTTTATAATTGGTGCACAATTTTGACACTTGTCTCCGCTGTATGACACACATGTTGAATTGCAGGAAAATCCTACTTACTCATATAAAAGATTTTCGAGATATGCACCTTTTTCAATTTGTTTAATTGAGTGTCTTTCATAAGTCCGTACAAAATGACAGTACTAACACTAATGACCATCCTCAACGATTACAAAGATTATTGTAAAAAAAACAAATACAAAATCTACAATTTTGAAGTTCAGTTCTTTTGAAGAAAAGACAATTTTTGAAACATTACAAAAATGCGCATTACAAGTACATAACTAAAGTGAATTGTACTTGTACAGTGGTAACAATTAATTTCAATTGAGGTGGCAATTAGAGGCATTTTTGTTGCTGAAAACTCATTTAGTATTGGTGCTAGCGAGTGTGCTAGGGACTTCTATAAAAAACAAAAATAAAGGTTTTTTCAGGTACTTCAGAAAAGGTTTGGTCGAGGGTTTGATGAGTAATGTTACTGCACTTCACAGAAGTGAAGAAGGGCAAAAAACTACGTTCTGCCAATAGATCACTAAAATGCTCTAAAAATGAACACTTTCCAGAACTCCTTACATGGATTCCATGACTCTAGAAGAGGCCTACACTGCTCTGGGAGCTAGAGACTTGCGACACCCTGTAAAGCATTGAGAACCACTCCAAATACGGACATTATTGCAAGTATGAATATAAAATACAGCCCTCCAAAACAACGGAACACAAACCTTGTTTGTCTTTTTCATCACTCTCATTTCCATCGGTTAAAGACTCTCCACCGCCTAAAGTAAATGTAACGGGAATATCTTCCTCACTTGGTTGCGACTTTAAATGCCATAATTGTACAACATCCCCGGCGGTTAATAAGCGAGTGCCTTCCAAATTCCAACTGAGTGCTTTTACTGGTGTTTCCGTTTTTAGTGTCCCAGTTTCGACCCACCGATAGTCGAGACCCTACAATGTACAGTAAATGACCTAGTAATCGAGTGAGCAATGCGTACGTGAGGGGAATTATTGTGAAGAAGTGGCGTCGGTTCGTAGATGCAAACAATTGTATCGTATGCAGCCGCAATTTTCCCTGTGTCACTCGAACAGTCTATTGAACTGATGCGTATGTAGTCGTGGACTGCGCCGGGAATTATTTGAACGCGTTCGAATGTCGATGCTAATATGACTATGTTACATCCAGCCGCGTACGCCTAGAAATTAAGATCTTTCACATTCGCTTTCAATGTTAATGATAATTACAGTGAAGGCAACTCCTTCGACACTTCCAACTGCAAAGCATTTATCGCCGGCATTGCAGGCGCCGCTGACTATCTGATGTAGATTCATTCTTTATTTAAATTTGCTTATTTAGTTGACATTTTATTAGTTTTTAACATGTTTAATTAGAAAAATTACCAATTACCAACTACAATCAGCTGATTATGACGGCCCGTGGCTCCGATCAATAACAGGAAACTACAGAATAGAAAATAAAAATTGGTACTCAATTTGAAGAGATATACAGCGTAATTCGTCAATAATCGCCACCGAGCTGAAGTCACAGGCTATTGAATACAGTCAAAAGTGACAGGGATCATGGGAGGCGTATATGTCAGCCTTGGCCTATTATAACCCTCAAAAATATGATAATGGAGGGCCAAAATGAATCGGATATCAGATGAGAAGCATTTTTACTTAATAACGGGTGGAACAGCTGCCATAAATGTTTTTGTCATTTGTAATGTCCAGCTGTTCGTCACGCAACCAACAAAAAATTGAAAACTAATACGGTTGATTGACGTAAAAAATTTTTTTCACTTATAATTGCACAAGAGGTTTGTATTTTACTGAGTAAATTTGGGTTGTTTAGGTAATGAAAATCTGTTGCCAAGTAATTAGACGAGAAAAACTGTCAACTAATAAAAATGCGACACCGAAGGTGGAGCATTTTTAGGTTGACAGTTTTTCGAGTTCAATTGCTAAAAGGCAACAGATTTGAATTGCAACAACACAAATTTACTCGGTTTAAATACAAACCACGAGTGTAGTTCGGCAGGACAATTTCACGAACAAGAAATTCACCAAACTAATCAATTATTGACAGACGTCATACTAGTCATATGGGAAAGGATAATGCGATATTTGGTTCGAAAATGAATAAGTGAAAAAACCACTAGTGCATTTGTCGCTGGAAAAGTTGCAGGTAACTTTTGCCGCTGTCAAAGTGACAATTGCACTGCGGCTTATGCGATTTTTTATACATGAGTTGAATTGTCTACAAAAAACCTTAATACATTTTTGCTCTAAAATAATCGCATGTTATTGAAATCCCTTTGATGCGTTACGCAATCACCACCCTGTATACTTGTGTATACGACCCTGTGAACATTTAACGCTAATGGTGGTAGTGGAGTCACTGCTTGAACGATACCAGTTGTACATAACCTAACAGTTTTCAATGTTTTTTTAATGTTCATAATCCTTTTAAATTAAATAATATGTCCATAAATATCAAACTAGCAAATTTACTGAAATCGGTTTTTATCTCACCATCAAAAGACGTTGCACACCTTCTAGGAGGTGTAAGACACTTTAAATACGTCGAGAAACCGAAACCTGGTTTCGGAAAAAGTTACAGACGAATTGTTCACTACCCTGAGAAGTACACAGTGAAACCTTTGGATGTCACCAACTTGGCAGGACGCGATCCAGTAAGCGGAAGGCTGGTTTGTAAGGGCATCGGAGGAGGAATTAAGCATAAGTATCACTGGATCAATTGGAAGCGTGAAGGTCCCACTGAAGGGCCTCCACAGCTTGAAAAAGTAATAAGAGTTATTGTCGATGGCTGCCGCACTGCCCATGTGGCTTTAGTGGCAGTCGGTGATAAATTGAAATATATTTTAGCAACTGAGAATATGAAACCGGGTGATATTATACGTACTTCCTGCGAGATACCACGTATTCCGGGTATGTTATGTAAACTTGTATGTATTTTTTTCTAAATTGAATTCTTGTAGTTCGTGCTTATGAGGGCGATGCGTACCCATTGGGTGCGCTGCCTTTGGGCACACAAGTCCACTGCGTGGAAAAGTACCCAGGTTTAGGTGGATTTTTGGTGCACGCCGCAGGTACATATGCCACAATTATTCGTAAAGCGCCCAACAACCATATTGTCCTCCAAATGCCGAGCAAGAAGGAATTTTGTCTACCGCACACCTGTATGTGTACGGTGGGTAGACTTAGCAACAAGGAGCACGGTTCGACGCCGATCGGTTCCGCACAACGAAACCGGGAGCTCGGTAACAGGCCTCGATCTGGATGGTTTCAAAAGAAGACAGGACGGTTTGGCAGAAAGCTTCGTAGAATACCGCCACCTATACTGTTTCCAACTCGTGATGTAACATCGCCGGAGGTTGTTGCACTTACCCTTGATAAATTTACTCCATTTACCTGCAACACCTTACGTTAATGATTTGTGAAAATAAATTAGTCATCTGTACATTGATTTTCGTTTTGCATGTTATACAGTGATATTTATTAAGAAGTGGACATAGGGACTTACCTGTATTGTTTTTCCCTATGTCTACTTATAAAACACATACTCCTCTTGAAGGGCGACTTATGCAACCAAAGTAACTTCTTAAAACAAATAATGATCTGGTAGTGATAAAGTAGCCAAAGAGAAAAACAAAATACATGTAAATCCCTATGTCTACTTCTTAATAAATATCACTGTATACAGGGTGACAATTTGAAAACTTACCACCCCCCATATCTTAGTAAATAAACAAGATATTTAAAAAAATCAAAATCCGTTTCGGTAATTCGGAGGGGGAATCACAATTACATAGTTGGCGATGCACCCCCTGCGCCCCAGCCACCCCAACTTTTAAATCTTAAATAGTAACCCCCCGTGTGTGATACGTCGTTGGAAAGCTCTGAAAAAATGCTTTCCAACCATACCAAATAGCATTCCATTTAGGTTAGTAATTATCGTGCAAATCAAAAAATAAACTAATATGATACATTTTCTAAAGTTGGCTTTTATTTCCATAAATGTTCAAAATGGTTTCCGTTCTTGGTAAGACAGTAATACTATGCGATCAAAAATGAGTTGCTGTCGAGTCGCCTTTTGAAAATTTTGTTTACATGGAAAATCGTATTTAACTTGAACTTCCAAAGCCGACTCGACAGCAACTCATTTTTGATCGCCAGTTATAATCTATTCTCAAACTCTTGTCGAACCTTTTCAAATGTTGGTTTTGCAATATTTCGACATTCTTGAATTATTCTCTGTCTTAGTTCGTCTATGTTCGCCGATTGCGTTTTAAATACGACAGATTTCAAATGTATCATATTAGTTTATTTTTTGATTTGCAGGATAATTACTAACCTAAATGTAATGCTATTTGGTATGGTTGGAAAGCATTTTTTCAGAGCTTTCCAATGACATATATCACACATGGGGGGTCACTATTTAAGATTTAAAAGTTGGGGTGGCTGTGGCGCAGGGGGTTGGAGGGGGTGCGTCGCCAACTATGTCATTGTGATTCCCCCTCCGAATTACCGAAACGGATTTTGATTTTTTTAATATCTCGTTTATTTACTAAGATATGGGGGGTGGTAAGTTTTCAAATTGTCACCCTGTATAAGTTGCCCAATACTGACATTTGTTAGAATAATGTGAATACATCAGTAGTTGATTTACTGTTACTTTACTTCAAGTATAGGTATGGTGTAAGTGTAATATGTTCGGGGCGCTACTGGGGGGGGCCGAAAATGTTGATTGCAAGTGATTGGACCATTTTTGTTGATCACTAAGCTCCATGGTTGTGAAAACACGATTACAATATTTGGAGTCGACTACTGGGGTACAAGTAAACCTATATGAGTGGGGGGGGGGGGGGTTGCCTACCTATTCAGGTGCTAATTAGCCGATTCCTATAAAGGGTGTTTTTTTGGGTGCTTTAGTTTCTGGGAAAGTAAAATAGGTAGGTTTTTGAAAATTTGTACTTAGGAGTTACTCTGAAGGCCGAATCGATGTAAAATATTTTCAAAATGGCCGCACTTCCGGACACCGGAAGTAGATAGTAACTTCGTTATTTTAAATGGCAACCCCTATTTTTTATTGCATTTTTGGATTCTACGTGAAATTGCACTTCTTTTGATACCCATATGTCGATATCTACCATTTATGGTTTTTAAGTTATTTTGACTTTAAGAAAAAAAATGGCTGATGCAGATGGTACCTTGATAATTGATTACTTGAAAACGGTTGTAGTCATGGCAACCTATTTTTATCAGTGCATAGAGAATGAATAGGGCTTTCTTTTAGTGCACTTAAAAAAAAGTAAAGTTGCGTAGGTACGACCGCCCCTATGGTTATCCAAATTTATGAAACTTCAAAGACTAAAAACTCGGTTTTTTTTAATGGAATGACCATGTTCTTACTATTCCATGAGATAGAGAATCGAAATGGGCATATTTTGACAATACATGTTCCTATAGCTATCTTTAACAGTTTCTGACTTATTCCCATTTTATTGAATTGACACTACTTTTTTCGGATTTTCTTTTTAGTAGTCGGCCATGATTCTATAACAATTGAATTTTAAACAAATCTAGTGACACTAATCCACCACCCACTGTTATAGGTTAACATAAGTTTTTCAAAAATCGAGAAATGACTCGCAGTGGTTTCACCTATTTTGGAATTTAATTGTTATTTATGGTGAAATGGGCAGAATCGCGGCGCGTGCTTTCCGTACATTCATTCGAAAACTGGAACGAAATTGTATGAATTTTGGAAATTTTGTACCTCTAATGCGCTTACAAACCGTTGAAGCACAAGTGATACAAAGCTCTACAAGAGAATATTTAAGAAAATGAATTGAATTGCAAATGCAAGATTAACAAAATAAATTCAATGCAAAATATAAAAAACTTCGTTGAAACATTTTGGGTATGGAATTGTTGCTAGAACAGATATCGCATTACCTCTCTTAATTTCCAGACTTATACGTTGTTTAAGAAATTCAGTTGAACGACTGTTTAGATTTTTCAAAAATTTTCCGTCCTATATCCTTAATAAATGAGTTATTTATTAATGAATTATTTAAACTAGAACTAGAATCAATGGTATTAAAGAATCCATTCCTTGATTTGTTTAAAATTCGATTGTTATAAAATCATGGCCAACTACTAAAAAGAAACTGCGAAAAAAATGGCATCAATTCCGAGATCAATTCAATGAAATGGGAATAAATCAGAAACTGTTAAAGATAGCTATAGGAACATGTAATATCAAAATATGCCAATTTCGATCCTCTATCTCATGCAATATTAAGAACATGATCATTCCATTTAAAAAAACTGAGTTTATAGACTTTGAAGTTTCTTAAATTTGGATCTCCATAGGTGCGGTTGTACGCAACTTAACTTTTTTTTAAGTACACTAAAAGAAAGCCCTATTCATTCTCTATGCACTGATAAAAATGGGTTGCCATGACTACAACCGTTTTCAAGTAATCAATTATCAAGGTACCATCTGCATCCGCCATTTTTTTTCTTAAAGTCAAAATAACTTAAAAACCATAAATGGCAGATATCGACATATGGGTATCAAAAGAACTGAAATTTCACGTAGAATCCAAAAATGCAATAAAAAATAGGGGTTGCCATTTAAAATAACGGAATTACTATCTACTTCCGGTGTTTCCGGAAGTGCGGACATTTTGAAAATATTTTACATAGATTCGGCCTTCAGAGTAACTCCTAAGTACAAATTTTCAAAAACCTACCTATATTTTACTTTCCCAGAAACTTTTAACTAAAGCTCCCAAAAAAACACCCTGTATATTTGTCTCTTTTTTGCAGTGTTTTAGCTCCAAACTTGCATAACCACAAAGGTAAGTAATTAAGTACTAAAATGTGAGCCCCCATATGCGTGAAGCCCCCCCCCCCCCATCCCCGCGATTGCGTGTTGGTAAATTCACCTTCGTAAGATATAAAAGTGACTACGATCTTTCTTATGGAGGTTGTGTTTCTACTTGATTCCTTAATCATCCTTTCTACCCTTTGGGGTCAGTGAGGGGGCGGAGGGGGGAGGGGCGGTAAGTAGAAGTTGATTTTATGTTTCATGGTATGCTGATTAAAGGTCTCAACAAAACGAATTGTTTTCTATCAACTGCCGCCCTTCTTTCTTACCATTATCAAAATAGGGGTTTGAGGGGGGGGGGGCTGGTTTTACTCTTCATGGTACTCTAATGAAACTCAATGAAAAGAATTAATTTTTACCAACCATAGTAGTCCTCCTCGAACTCCTTACCGTGACCGGATATACTTCTTTATATCTCAAGAACCCATTGTCGGAGGAGAGTACTCACAAAGGCAAAATGAATTATGTGGACGAGACATGAGGTCGAAACGAATGTCTCGAAAATGAAGTGTCGAAAGAGGGTGTACTGGTGATATCAAAACTTTCAGTTATAATATAAATAATAATATTAAATGTCTTTATTGGCAACAAAGCAAATACCAAATAATATTTTTTATTGATACCTACATCAAGAATGAAAGGTGCAAATTCAGGGACAGACACAAGCGCCGCTCCTGGTCTTCCAGTTTGACCCAAATCACCAACGGGAAGGAAGAAAAATTTACAATTTGCAGAATGGAGTGTCAGATGAGTGTACTCTCAAAGGGCGGAAAGAACGTCTAGACGAGACACATCTACTGGCGATGTAAAAAGTTCACTGTGAAAAAATTATTTTATGAACTGACAAGAATACGTGCATAGTCAAGCTACAACATTGCGAGTGTAACACATAATATACGAATCCGTAATAAATGAATTCCTTTGTTTTATGTTGAAAAAATATCCCCCAAATTGTGTTAGTTCACTTTCCTGTTTCATAGATAAGATAGAAACATCCTGTGAAATTGCCAGTAGCATTCAAACACAAGCGGAATCATGCCCAATCAAATATTACTGTTTAAAGAAATCGAATCTTTAAATAATAATCAATTAATTAACGCATTAGAACTTGTAAGTAGGTAACACATTTTTATTCATAATAATGAAGCTTTAATTTAGAATGGATACGGCGAGTGCGTTGCCGCAATTCGCGCTAAAAACATAGACGGCGACCAATTTTTGGTAATCCGACTGCTTTAATACAAATTAATTATTAAAGTTTATTTATAGAAACTGACAGAGGTTCAAATATCTTTATGGCGCCTTCCAATTACACAATCCCGTCGTTTGTGGAGCTTTATTCAGCTCATAAAATCAGACCCAACTCAATTACTACACACTGCCCGAACGAGTAATCACAGTAAATCAAAAAATATTACGAAGTTAAAGTCAAATGAAAGTGTGGAATCTTCGAAAGGATCCTCACTAACAAAGCAAGAGAGCGTGTTACTTAGAAATAAATTAGAAGACATGTTTAAAAAAGACATTGAAGAAATGCCCAATCCATCATTCATCCATCAGCAAAGATATCCGCAACTACCGCTGAAGCCTAAACACTTGCAACAGAAAAGGGAAGAAACTCAGGAACCGATGGACGATAACGACGGATATTTATCTCCAATCCATGTCGAGCCAAGACACGAAGAAACTTTCTTAAGTAAGTACCGCAGAGCAAGTGCAAGTTTTGAAAAAGACACGGATAAACCCAAATTGCCGCTTAGAGGCAGACCGCTACCACCATTACCCATACAGCAAACCCTACCCTCTAATAAAGATGATCCAGAAGAGGAACTAGGAGATTACACTCCTGTGATTGAACCGCTCCCAAATACTCCGACAAATGAAGAGGAATTACCGGAATACACGCCGATTGAGGACGAAATTTTACCTACCACTCCCGTAAAACGTGCTTTACCACCGATACCCACACAACAAGTTTTAGTCTCTACACCTAGGGAACCAAATGTTACTAGTATAAGACGATTGAAACCGGTACCGCAAACGTCAGATTTGGTGGCACCAGTTAAACAAAACTTACAAGTAAAGGTGAAAGCATTACCGAAACCACCTAAAGAACTGCCACCTGAGCCCGTTTCACTTTTCGAAAATGAAAGTTTGATTGTGAATAAAGCAACCGAGATTGCATTGTGTGCAACAAATGCGGAGGACGACTATTCCTCTGACGAATATGATCAAGTTGGTGATGGTAAGTACAAATAAATGCACAAATTTGCACCTAATAAATAAACAATAAGGGTTTTTTCCAAATTAACTGAAGATCCAAAAACGTTTCCCGAGCTCTGGCCCAAAATTTCTTCTTTCATTTTTTCCTCAGCATAGAAGAAAGATGACCTTTCAGGTGTGGCCTTTCTAATTTTGGCAAAATTCGTACATCTAGATGGCAGGTGGTGGGAACAAAATTCTGGTTTCCTGTTAAAATTGGGTTTCTCAATGTGAAAATAGAAGACCCCTTTTGAAAATTTGATACCATGTTTTATTTGTGCCCTCATTTTGGGATGAGCCATCATGGCAAACATTCTTACCAAAACTGAAAGGGTCTTCAGTTTATTTGAAAAAATACTTTTTTGATTCCATCCGTAACTCAGTTTTTTTGACATACTTAATTGCTACACTCAGTATAAAAGGTAGTTTCTGTCTAATTTTATGGTGATATTAAATATTCCATGCAACAAAATTTAGTGCTAATTATGGCTTTATAAAAACCCCATTGCTAATGCAGTATATTTCAGAGTTGAAGAGCCTTTCGTACTATCGTGAAACCGACCGCAAGGGCGCGCGGATGCTTCTAACCGGTCTTGAAGAAGGTGCATTTGTGATCCGGCCAAGTCGTCAGAACAAATATCTCTGTACAATTTCAATTATGCACACAAAGAAGATGTTTAACATTGGCATTGAAAGAAACAGCGACAGCACCCTCACATTCGGGGATTTAAATGAAAATACGAATCTGCCCCCATTTTACACAATAAAAGACATCATCAATTATTTCACCACAAATCCGATACCATTATATGGTGAATATGTACAACTCAAAAACATATTACCGCCAAATAAACGTTAAAAGACTTAAATATATTTAAATATCACATCCTTTTTATCAGCTACAGTCTGTAACTCTAACTTAACCGGACACTGCAACCAAAAACTTAACAATTCTTCTGTATACCCGATTAAGAAATACATTTTTCGGGGACTTACAGCTTGCCGTATAATGCCGGCTATACGAATCATGTTAAACTGCCTTTTAATAATAATTTCGCTAACGAATAACGCGTGCCATGTACCGATTACGAATTTTCTAATGAAAACGTCTTCGACTGCTGTTTCTGAAGGCCGAGGACCCCCGACAATATTTGCTACAAAAGAAATAAGATACGTATTTACGAAAGAAATAATTATTAGAACGTTACATGTATTCCACGAGTTCCACGACTTCCTCTGCACTATGTAGTGTGGCGGATTTGCCATTTCGTATGTTAATGGAAAGTCTCGACGTGGGGTCACACGATATCGTCCTGACTGGTTTTTCTCGCATACTGCCGATAAATGTAAGGTGCGTCTTTGAAGGTTAGGAATCCTCATTAATCGGGGTATCTGTATGTGTATTTTGATTATTTATTATAAGTTTGTCTATTACAGTACCTGCACAATAGAAGACATCATTTTATGAACAAATTAACACACTTTATTTTCAAAAATAAACTGTTCTAGGTACCCGGAACCAGTTAGCAGACACAGCCACAGTGGCTCCACAACCAATTCCGCTGTATAGCCTCTGTCAACAATTCCGAATTATTCCTTCAAATCTTCTCGTCTACTTCACGCCCCTTCGCTTCCAAACTTTTTTCGGCTCTTTAGAACCGTTATCACGTCTCGTCCAACCCTTCTTCAAGCCCCTTGATTCCCCTTTCAAGTATTCTTCACTGCACCTTCATGTTTCTTTTCGTCCTTTCCCACTCTTTTACGCCTCCTTCTTTCCTTATTCCCGTTTCCTTTGGGCTTTCTTCGTGCCTCATTCAAGCCTTCTTCCCATCTTTTTCAAATTTTCACCTCTCCTCCATCCTTTCAACTCGGTTGCGCATTTTTCACGCCTCCTTTACGTCTCATGAAGATTCAAGATGTCTTTCCGTATCTTATGCGCGTTTCATGTCTCCTCTTTCATACTTTCCTCAAGCCTCCTTCACACCCTTCCATTGAAGTTTCTTCGCAGCTCTTTAATTCAAACGGATACGTACGTATTCTTTAAATAATTAACGAACTGCGTGCAGAGCTCTTGTTTGCGTTCCTAGCCTTTTCACGCGCCCATCCGGCTTCTTTCAATTCAGCACGATTTCTTCAAGCTTTCTTCAGATCTTTTGTTAGCCCCCAAACCTTTTCAAGCTTCTTTTAAACCTTCTTCAGACTTCTTTCTCCTTCAAGCGTTCTTTATATTTATTTATTATCCCTCTCTTGTTCTGAGCCCTCAACAGGTTTCCTTACAGTGACTCGTACAATGCTTTTTAGAGGTGGCGCTGCAGAAAGTCTTAAGTTGTTCTACGCTACTACGGTATTTACCTTAGGAGTTAGGAAAGCTGCAGGAAAACCTAATTCGGAATAGCCGACAGAATGCTCGAAACTGATCTAAGGAAATTCCCTTCTGTGACTGTCAACTGTCACAGATGAAAAATTCTAACCTTAGCCCAGATTCGAACTCCCGTCCTCCGACTATGTAGCCCAATGATCTACAGGCACACTTTAGACTTTAATATATTCTTCAACTGTTCGCCCCTTTTTGCCCACCTCTTCGCCCCTTTTTGCCCACCTCCTTCGCCCCTCTGCTCGCCTATCTTTCGAACTGTTTTCGCGCCTCCTTTAGTGAATGAACACAGTTCGTGGAAATTGTTTATTCAATGAGTAAACAATGGCTATAGTTATCTGCTGTCACAAGAAATCAGATAAATTACGCTCCACTGTGTATAATTCATCGAGATGTAGACGGTATGTTAGACACTCATTGATGACAGTTAGGAAAAGAGGTTAGGAATATGCCAAATCATTTTTAACCTTCTGTAAATAAATATGTTGTTAATAACAAATTGTTGTTTTGATAATTTATGCTGTGATAACGACTGATTATTATATAAATATGCTTTCACATTAAATTAGGCTAAGTACTACTTAAAGGCGACCATTAATTCTAAAGAATAGTTTGTATTATAAAGAAAGCATGTCAAATAGCGACCTTTCACTAAAAATAAAAAATATTAATTTAGACCCAATCCTGACATCCCTTCAACCTGTTAAACCAAAACCTCCCTTAATAATGACCATACCTAAGTATATCCCTCAGGAACGAAAATCCGCAAAGTTTTTAATCGGTAAACCAAAAGAACCAAAATTTGTACCTTACGAACCATGCAAAGGAGCAATTGAACCAATTATTCCTCGCAAGAAGATTTTTAAGCGCGAAGTTGCAAAATCGTCGAGAAACAATGTGGATATATTTGAATTAGTTAATCAAATAGCGGAAGTTCGCGTGACGGAATTAGGGAAAGCAAAGTTAGAAGCAACTCTGGATGATCGACCGTTAATTTCTAGACAGGAGTGGGAAGCAGAACGGAAGTCGTACGAAACTGATATTAAAAATCTACGTGAGACAAATGCGCATTTAGAGAACCAAGTGAAATTTCAAACGCAAGTAAGTACCTACTAAGCAAGCTATAGCTTCACTAACTGGCTTTTAAAGGTAAATGGTGAATTGAAAACCTTACTTGTGGCAGCTGTCGGTGAAGACCTCGAAACCCGTGTGCAACATTTAACGGAAGATAAGTTGCAGTTGGCCCGGGCACTGCTCAATTCAGCAAACCACCTGACTAGTCATCAGGAGCAAACCGAATGGCTTTCCGGTCAATGCGAGGTGTGGAGAAGTAAATTTCTAGCTTCCAGTTTGATGGTGGAGGAACTGGCGCATTGGAAAACTGCCTTATCGGAGAAAGTTAGCGATCTTCAAGAAAATTTAAGAAATTTATTGTACGAACGTAATCAAGTGAGGCAGGACTTGCTCAAATCGAATCATTGTTTAGCTGGGGCATCTGACAACTTTAGCTTTACTTTAAAATCTAGCAATATAATGGATTTGGGGGAACTGAACTGTAAATTAAGCGAACATATATTGAGGAATCTAAACAAAAATGACAATAATACCGAAAATCTTGTAGATGAATGTAACTTAGATAAACATACGCCTGGCGAAAAGGATGCTCTTAAGGTGGGTGTTAATAATATACAAATTATTAATCAATTTACTAAACATTACATTTTTTATGTTTTAGAACTTGCAAAATCAAATGACAAAGATAAACAAGCCGGACCTTTTGTGTAATGCGTTGGTTGGTGCTGCCATGTCTGTTGGTGGTGGACAAATCTACTTACAACATCCATCAATTTGTACTTCTTGTTCCAATTGTAAAGGGGAAGTGGATAATGTTTAACAAAGTGTGTAGTTATATTAATTGTATCATATTGTATTTTATTAAATTGTATTCTTTATGAAAACACTTTTTTTGTTGTTTTTTGAGGAATTCAATTTCAATCTATAGATTTTTTTGGATTTTTATGACTGTTTTCAGTACATACACTTTAATGTAATTTGATTTATCAAAATGTATCATTTTAGAACTTTTCATACAGTCAGTTTGCCAATTTTAGCATATAAAATGTTACAATTTGTATATCAGGCTGGTGGATAACTACCGCTCTATCAGTGTATTATGACGTTTCACTAAGTATGTTTACATTGCATAATGCAATTAATGGAAAAGAATACGTATATAGGCAACGATCCAGACAGTGGTGCTGCATTGTGGGTAGCATACCCATTACAGCAACGACTTCCATTGTCCAATTATTAGAATGACTAAAAAAATGTTTCGGTAGTTATTTGTTATCAGGTTGTCAGGTAATAGCAACTCCCACAGTATTTAGCAAAAGAAGTCGAGAAGCGACTGCAATCTTGACTTCCACATTCTCATGACAGAGCCACCGTTACTTTTGTCGAAATGGCGCTTTTCGAGATATTGACATAAACTTCCCGGTACTTCCTCATAACTACCTCCATTCTGTACAATTATTTCCCCAGGTGTTTACTCCCTGCTATTACCGATACTTCATTTTTAGGTGTACTTAATTACTGTACAAACTTTCATTCTTGTAGAAATGAAAATGAGGCATGTACAAAATGGCAGAATATCAGCTTTGTATGTGCACAAAAAATGTCGCTGCCTCCTGGACTATTAGATTGATTAGGAAACGAATCATTTTAATACATATATTTTGACCTGCACAGACAAGAAAAAGAATAAGTTAAAAACGTGGTCACTCGCGACCTACGAGTAAAAACGTAGAAAGAAACCACAACGGGAGAACTAGTTGTAGTGGTACAGACGAACAGACAGATAGAGAATATGACGACAATAGTGTTAATTTCTGTTTCGGAAAATGCGCTAAATGCATCACAAGTTGCAGACAAAACTAGGAAACGATTATGCCTGCAGAATCAGTAAAAAACTACTTGAAAGGTTCACATCTTGTGTTGGTTGCCTATAAGGTGGCGCAAGATTCGTTTGTTCATAAATATCAAGGATTAATATTAAGTGAAGCACGTTTACATGATTATTAATTGAGAGAACAATCAGTTCAGAAGAAATGGTGATGAAACATGAGTTTAGTGTACCTATAATAGGATAGGAAAGCAACCAGAATAGTGATGGCTACTTTTCCAATGCATTTAGGTACCAAAAATGAAGTTGAGCTCGACGTCCGTTTTCGTCTTCGTTATTCAAACCAAGGAGCATTATTTGATTCAACATCCTAAATTCTAAATGGAATGAAATGACCCCCCCCCCCCTCGAAACAAACAAAATCTCGATGATGTCGGTCTGTCTGTCGGACGAACAGAGGACCCTGAAAAAATTTCATTCATTCTGAAGATTCATTTGGTCCAAGCAACTACTTAAATAGAAGGAATCTTTTGAACTAGTAGCCCAATCTCGAATTCTCGAAAGAAAATTCAAAGGGCTGTAACGTTTGAACTAGCAGCCCAATCTTGGAACTGTTTGAAATTATGGATTCTACAGGCCACATTCTATAAGAAAAAATTTTTTCCGGGTCGATCTGAGACAATTTTTTTTGAGGGCCTCAAAAAAAGGCACCTTCCTTTTTTACCAAAAATCGATTGCACCAAAATTTCTCGAGAAAACACTTTTTCTTCTTAATTTTGGTGCGTAGAATCCAAAACAATTCGTACTTTTTCGATCAGACTTCTCAATCAAAAGTTATACACTAGAAACCAATTTCGAAAAAAAATTCAAAGGGCTGTAACTTTTGAACTAGTAGCCCAATCTTGGAACAGTTTGAAATTATGGATTCTAGAGGCCACATTCTATAAGAAAATGTTTTTTTCCGGGTCGATCTGAGACAATTCCTTTTGAGGGCCTCAAAAAAAGGCACCTTCCTTTTTTACCAAAAATCGATTGCACCAAAATTTCTCCAGAAAACACTTTTTCTTATTAATTTTGGTGCGTAGAATCCAAAACAATTCGTACTTTTTCGATCAGACTTCTCAATCAAAAGTTATAGACTAGAAACCAATTTGAAAAAAATTCAAAGGGCTGTAACTTTTGAACTAGTAGCCCAATCTTGGAACTGTTTGAAATTATGGATTCTACAGGCCACATTCTATAAGAAAATTTTTTTCCGGGTCGATCTGGGACAATTTTTTTTTCGGGGCTCAAAAAAAGGCAGTGTATAACCTTCCTTTTTTACCAAAAATCGACTACACCAAAATTTCTCGGGAAACCACTTTTTCTTATTAATTTGGGTGCGTAGAATCCAAAACAATTCGTACTTTTTCGATCAGACTTCTCAATCAAAAGTTATAGACTAGAAACCAATTTCGAAAAAAAAATTCAAAGGGCTGTAACTTTTGAACTAGTAGCCCAATCTTGGAACTGTTTGAAATTATGGATTCTACAGGCCACATTCTAAAGAAAAATTTTTTTCCGGGTCGATCTGAGACAATTTTTTTTTCGAGGGCCTCAAAAAAAGGCAGTGTATACCTTCCTTTTTTACCAAAAATCGACTGCACCAAAATTTCTCGGGAAAACACTTTTTCTTATTAATTTTGGTGCGTAGAATCCAAAACAATTCGTACTTTTTCGATCAGACTTCTCAATAAAAAGTTATAGACTATGAAACAAGGGAATGCAATATCGGGATTGCGGGATCCCGCAGAATTTTTGCGAGATTAATCCCGCACATAAATGGAGCGGGATCCCGCGGGATTTGCGGGACTGAGGAATTTATCGACCAAGGGGACGACTCGGTTTACTTTGTTAATGAAACTGATAACGGCGAATTATTTTTTAAATAATTGTTAAACTTTTTTCGTTAAAAATGTACTATGATTTTTGAGGCACCTTAGAAGACTTTTTGTGCTTTACAGGTAAGGTTTTTTTGAGTTCTAAGTTAGGTCGAAGGTACTTTTTGTTGAATATTGTGATAATTAGCGATTTATTTTAATACAGAAGTTAACCCCACAGAATTGCTTATTTGCCAATTTATTTAAAGTTTTGCGAGATCCCGCAAATTCCGGGATCCCGCGGGATTAACATCTAACAATCCCGCAAAAACCGGGATTGAGATTTTGCTGGGGGATTGCATTACCCTAGTCCGCACTGTTAAAAGCGCCTTAAAAATAGGCAAACCACGTAAAATACCCTAAATAAATTCTCCCTGGGTATTTGACAATAATTCCCTTCAACCTTCCTAGATGTAAGAAAATACAAAACAAACCCTGGAGTCTGGACATACATTTTTGACCCATTTTATGGGCGGGTATTGAAATGCTACCTTGCGCTTAAGAAACCCGCTATAGCAAGTGCCGTCCGGGGATGCGGGGGTGGCGGCATAGCTGAAATTGAACCTTAGGGTGTCTAGAACATCCTCTGAAAGTTTCATAAAGTGATCACAAAATGCAAGGTTGAAACCTATTTTGGCTCTTAACCCCTGCACTATAACTTAAAATGACAAAAATTTACAACTGGGCGAAACTAATTACATCGACATGTACATTCAAATGAGTCATTGCTACCCCGACGTAGATTGAATCGGTAATGTAAGGGTTCTCAAACACGCACGAAAACGGCACGCCCCATAATAGTTGATGGGCAAACAAAACGAAAGAATGATGATATATATTTACCCCACGGGGATGACATTGAATATTGATTTAACAAACATCAATTAGAACAGACTACCCTAAATCGACATAATGAAGTGTGCTTAGAACTTTCTCGTATTTGTAAGTGTTTGTTATTATAGGTAATAACAATAATAATTAAGCAATTGTTAATGTAGGATAATATGGTAAATCGAAGAAAGTTTGATAGAGCGCTGTATAACCCATTCGCTCAATCTCGCACAGAATATCCTTGCCACATCCATACCGCTGAGGATCAAGGATTTTATGGGAACTCCAGAAATCAGCGGAACGACACTTACTGTTCTAACGTTGGTCGGCATCATGATCGAACTTCGGAAGTGCTTAGGGATTTCAAACACGCTTGCTCGATGTGCCCCGGTGATTTTACGCACACCAGCTGTAAGTATTGTATTAACGAAGGTGAAGAATTCGCCGCCTCGTATAATTATGGCGAAGATCGGTGTTCCTCACACGAACCGCGGAGGCATTACTTCCCCACGGCAGCGTGCTGTTCCGAGCCGTCTTGCTCTGTAAACGATGAAGGACCAATTTCGTTTCTGAACAATACTCGTTACACCAGAAACGCTTACGGTGAGGTTTCACGCGAAAATTATTGCGAGTTTTGTTTCAAAAACGGCGAAACTGCGGTGATTTACAAAAGTCATCAACTACGAAATCCATCCGGGAGTATTGCGTGTCCTTTACTGAAGGAATATGCCTGTTGCACCTGCGGTATTATGGACGAGGGGGAAGCATGGAATTACGGATTTTCTTCGCCGAGTTTTGGACATAACCCGAAAAAGAAATTCACTTGTCTATTTTGTACTCCAAACGGGAAGGACTTTTGCGATGGAGGCCCATCTATACGAAGTCACAAGTATGGAGGAGGTTGTATACGGACTCCGTATGAAAGGATACCCGCACCCTTTCATGCAAGACGCTCCCACGTTAATCCTTACGCATATTTGGATATGCTCAATTATTCTTGAAAATGTCGTGCCTGAATGTTATAGTGTCGTATTTTTGTAAGTGCAGTGTAAGTTAATAAAGTATTACAAATGTATTTATTTGCGTTACAAGAAATGGTTTATTGAGTTTGATGATGCCTTTTCAGCGGATGCCTACGTAAATATGGTGGCAGTCTATTAACAAGAACTGAAGGTGGTACTTCGATTCCGGTCTGGGGAACATCACATTCCTTTTGTGCCATATCAAACATGTATGTAAGATCTATATCGTATCGAGGTAATTTTTCGCGTAAATACGAGATAACATTTACACCAAGCACTGGATTTCTACTCATTATGAAACTAGACAAATAACGTGGACTTTTCGATTTTTCGGCGCAGTGCAGCAATAAACACCACGATGAGTACTCGGTGTCTAGCACGTAAGTGTTGTAAATTCCCTCGTCTGCAAAGAGAATTAAAGTAACAAAACAAGGGCGGAAAGACGTTTCTTACATGTGTCCTCGGCGTGCTTCCAATGGGCAAGTTGTGTTGGATCAGGAATCACCCACGTTATGTTACCCCCAAGCTCTTCATTAAGAGGATCGTCCGTGAAACTGTAAGTGAAGTTCATGGTGATCTCAAAATGCGTCGGGGAGATCGTAAAGTTTGCCCTCATGCATCTGTATGGCAGAGCTTCCTCCGAACTTGCATAATATTGAATAACGTACCACGCCCCTAGCATCTAAATTTTCAACCACTGTTATTTAATAAAGAAAAAATGCGTATACCTCCTCTATATCAAAATTTCGTAAGGCCTTTACAGTCGGACATATGGTTTTATCTTCAGGTACATCTCGCAGTCCAAAAACACCAATTATTATAAACGCACTTAACGAAACTATAACAAACTTCATTATTACCACAAGTAATAACGCTACCAGCGAAAAATTGACACATTTCCTCTAAACTATGGCTGGTTATCAAATTTGTGGGGGCGAATCTATTCACAAGAGATACTAACAATGTTGCGTATTTTTAAATAATTATAATAAGTAAGTACTTTCCAAGGAAAGATTATTCTTATCGAGTTGACCATATCATTATGTAAATTATATGTCTTCAGTCACGTTTATAACACGGTCAGGAAATTGCACTAAGTAATCGTTGTGTATTTAATGTTTAGCTAAAGCGAGGAAAACGGAAAGTACTCATATTGTGACATATCGTAGGTACAAAAGATGTTAATGGACAATACGGAGTATGTTAAAAACATTAATACATTGTGGTCAGTCGAACACGTTAAATAAAAATAAAGAAGGTCAAGGCTTTAAAAGTAGCAGGTTAAATTGGAAAAAAAAATAAACATAAAACCGGCTTAAGATATGTGGAAACTTGTTACGTGATCTTCCTCACCAAAACGCCGACGAATCAATGCGTGGGTGTCGTTTGATAACGCAGAACGTTTTGAATACAAGTGGGCCATCTTCATTTAAATAAAGTCAGTCTTACACAATTGCTCCAATTTAATCGAAAAATTGGGTTAGGTTACGTGTAAAGATGACGTTCAGGTTTTATAATAGGTACATTATGGTAATAAATTGTTTATAATTGAAGAAAAATAACATAAAAGTTGTTCTAAAATGTTTTCTAATCTATTCATCAAGAAACGTAATAAATTTTTACATATCGAGTTAAATTGCTTTGATGTACATTCTTTGTAAATTTCAGTACATCTCTTCTATGCCGTGACATACTAACACTTCTCCTCAGAATTGCCTTGTAGGTACATACGCTCTTTTTCATAATTATTCTGTAGCACAATGCTGGTACTAATTGGAGTACTTATGGACACTTTCCAATAGCCATCAAAGATTTTATTAAAACTTTCCTCTTAGCATCTATTCGAAAAGGTGTAGACTATGTTTACATGACCGTACAAATAAAAGAAAAAATGTGAAGAGGCCTATGCCTAAATAACCACCTCAATCACATCAACTAATAGGGGAAAAAGCTCATAGAAAACATTTTAAAAGGCAATAATTCAGTATAAGTACGTCTGCACAGTTGGTAATATTCGAATTGGGAAGTTTGTTATGTTTATTATATTCTTTCTTTTCTATAGCTACCTAAATTAGAAACAAAGTCTCAGAAGGTGATTTAACGTAAGTACCTACCGTATGGCAAGCAACTGCGATAAAGACAAGTAGGCACTACAGAAATGTATCTAGGAATAAGTACGCATATATCCACCCCTATAATACCAACTGAGGTACCAATTTCGTATAAATTATTTATAACTTCCTAGCGCGAGCTAGGTAGCTATTGCGATAGCCGTTTTTTGGACATGTCAAAATTTCATCAAATGCCGACGTTTTAGATCATTTTAAGCAACTTTTAAAGAATTTTTTCCGAAAAAACGGCTCGACGGATTTTGTTCAAATTTTGGATATGTACATATATTAGGCATACGGAACAGAAATTGCAACGACATCGAACTTTTTTTTTCAAATATCAACCTAACATTTTTATTACATTATTCGAAAACCTTATTTTTCTGTGTACAATCTGCAAAATTGTGCCAGGTTTTACTTAAAAAAAACTACAAAAAATGTCAGTTAATAAAAACTAAACGATCTACCTTAGGTACATCCACTAACATGACTTTAAGTTTCTTCAAAGAACCTTCTTTCATTTTTTCAGCTGATGGTCTCTTCGGGTGTTTGGCAGTATTTTTCCTTTGATCTTTAATGCGTTTTTGGTGAGGATATCAGCTGCCGATAGATCCTATGACACTGAAATATTATTGTTGGTTGATTTAAGTATGGATAGATTATTATTAAACCTCGAAATAATAGCAAGAAATATAGGAATATCCGAATAGGAAACAATAATAAGTGAAAACGTAATCGTAAACGATTTACAAAAAGCGCATTTCCACTTGCATTCATTTCCCATTTATAAAATGCAACTTCTGTTAAAATCGTAAAAATCCGGCCACAAATATGAAAGATAGCGTTGCACATGGGCAATCCATTTTTGACGTGCTACTTCAATTTCATTTTATAAAAAGAATTTCATTTCAATGCTTTTCTAAATAAGAAAGTTGGAACTGCGCATGCGCAAACCTAAATTTGGAAACTAATGATTTTCCTTTGTTCCAAGCGCCTAAGTATCAAATTCACTTAAATGCTTCCATAGATAAAAAAGTTGGCACTGCGCATGCGCAAAATGAAATTTTGAAACTGGCGCTAGATTTTCCTTTATTCTAAGCACCTATGTATTAAATTACGTTTAAATTCTTCCATAAATAAAAAAGTTGGCACTGCGCATGCGCAAAACCAAATTTTGAAATTGGTATGCGTGATGAATGACTCCATTTCGTTAATAGGTCTCTAATGAAGGGTGAAGGGTATATCCTTCACCCTTTGAAATTGGTGTTAGATTTTCCTTTATTCCAAGTGCCTATGTATCAAATTTCATTCAAATACTTTTATAAATAAAAAAGTTTGCAATTCGGTTTATAAATGGTCGAGATGCGAAAAGGGCACTGTGAATTTTGAATCGATTCGATTCAACTTATATGGCTAAAGCTATGCCCATATTGAATTTCATGCAATTCAGTTAATAACTAACGGAGATGTCAAAGCGATCGGACATTTCTAAACAAAGTTATCGTTGACACGGACAGATAGAGGAACAGGCAGACCAACAGACAGACGACAGACAGCAATACAAAATTATAAACGATCTCTAGGATCGTTAATGAACGGCAAAAGTGTAAAATTATGGAACATGTAAAAAACGGTTTTTTGTTTTTTTACAATAACTTTTTTAGCAATAAACGCAGAAAAATTCCTTCCTTGGTGCAAGCCTCGACACCATAACGAACCAAATAGCGAAAAAAAGTAGAACAATAGCTCCTAAGATAAAGAACTAGTAGCGTCTCAACAAACGAGCGGACGGACAGATGGACAAAGTGGCCACAATAGCGCATTTTTTTTATTTTTGTGGAAATGCGCTAAAAAAGACGGACCGGCGGACAAAAGGACGAACAATCATACAAAACTAAATCCAGCTGTGGCAAGTGACGGAGCAAATAGCCAAATAAAGGGATTTTTTTTGTTACTAATGGCAATTTTTAGCGTAGTAATTGGAGAACATGCGCAAAGACGAAGAGATGGGAAAAACAACGAAAATAGCACATTTTTTTTAAAAATTTGTTGAAAATGCGCCTAAAAAGGACGTAAAATCTGAAGGTAGGCTTTTATCTTTTTACAATTTGCTCTTATATGATTAAATTAAACATTTGGCCATTTACGACGTTGCACCTGTACCTAACCGGCATTTGCGGTAAGGACGCCGCTATTCAAAAATTATCCCCACCGACCGGTTCTGCGCATCAAGTTGATTTTTGCTAATACATTTATGTCGCGTTTTGTGTCGTGTGCCCAAGATGAAGTGGTTTTTTTGCCCAAAATAACCAACCTTAGGGGTAAGTTTTCATTTAACCATAAATCAACTAACACATCAAATTGAATACAAGAAATAAAGAAAGGACGTGTAACTCATGGGGCCAAGTTTTTTTAGATTAGACGACTTTCCAGAAAACTAACCCACAAAATGCAAATGCCTTTACTACTTAAGTGATTTTTATCATTTAGGCATAGATAGCTTTCGTTACTTTAAAAAAAATTGATTTTATCAAGTTCAAAACTTTAAATTTATTGTACAAAAACTGCATAAACACGTGATATCGATACAGTCGTTCCATAAATGCAACACCTGTTCCTTATGATTGAATCAGGTGCATGAATCATACTGTTGTCCATTCAAATCTTTTATTTTATCTATCAATTTCTAATGGAGTAGTTTTTCGGTGCGTTTAGGTAAGTCCAGATACGCACGTACAATAAACTATAATTTTCATACTTTCTGAACTAAACGTACTTAATGGGAAAGGACAAGTCACATTTTAGAATTGGTATTTAGACACAAACCAATAAAATATTGGGATGACTTACATATCATCCCTCAGATGCCAATCAAGATTTTATAAAGCAACTAATTTGTTTGGCAAATACTTATGGCCGTTTGCACCGACAAATTTAAGCAGAGTTTAGTATAAGTGTAATGGCAACCATTGTCTCAATAATTTTTGCCATGGATTTTAAGCTACATTTAAGCTAAGCTCTGCTTAAATTTGTCGGTGCAAATGGCCATTAATCATTAAAGTTCGTCATTCTCCGTAGGCAAGTTTAATTTCGGTGTATTTAGAAATGCGTTGAGCAGATTTTTGATTGAACTTTACACACGTCACACTTTATGCGCCAAGAAAATGTCTGTAAACATAGATTTCCAAAAAGTTGAATGGATTTATTGGCATTTAGGTGGGCGTTTACATTGGGACAAAATTTTTGGTTGAAATAACATTGAAATATCCAGATATACAGGGTGCCAATTTGAAAACTTACCACTCCCCATGTCTTATTAAATAAACGAGATATTTAAAAAAATCAAAATCCATTTCGGTAATTCGAAGTGGGAATCACAATGACGCACCCCCTCCAACCCAACCCCAGCCAGCCCAACTTTTAAATCTTAAATAGTGACCCCCCATGTGTGATACGTCGTTGGAAAGCTCTGAAAAAATGCTTTCCAACCATACCAAATAGAGTATTGCACTTAGGTTAGTAATTATCGTGCAAATCAAAAAACCTTCGGTGTCGGGCTCTTTCGCCAAAATATAAATAAACTTATGCAGTTTTTAGGCAACATACTTTCAAAAAATTATCGGTAATTTTGATGCACTTTTTCAATTACCTACGATAACAAATAACCCGTTCACCGTAGGTTACACAGTCATCGATTAATTAAATAAGCAAATTCTAAAAACGATGCATTATCTTTCAAACTGTGTGACGCCCAGAGCGTTCTCCATTTTTGTGTAGATGGTGGAACCCTAACACAGCTTTTTCCACAAATTGTCCCGATGATTCTTGCAAATCGACGAACTGTGGAGTTTTTCTTCAAATGCCGAAAATCCGAATAATTTTCGAAATATAACACAAAATGGAAAGCTCTCGGAAAGACGTACATAAAAAATACGTCCAAATCCAATGATTAGTTCACGAGAATTTAACTCTTCA